TCTGAGATTACGCTGCCTGTGGATTCCTCTAATATTTTTATGGCTTCCCGTCTTATGTTTAAGTCCTTTCTCTACTTTTCTATTTTTTGTGTATGGTGTAAGTTGGTGGTCTAGTTTCATTTTTTTTTTTTTTTTTTTTGCATGTATGTGTTCATAGGCAGTCTTGAATGAGCTTCCTGATTGGTAACATTTCACATGTCACAATTCATTGCTGGACGGGGAATTAACTGTATATCCTTCAAGACTCTAGAAAAATCTTGGAAGGTCAGGCTTGGTTTTCTGACTTTGCCCCACCAACCCTTTCCCTTTGATCTTGTTCTACATCTTTTTGCTGTAACAGATATTAGCTGTATGACTCTAAGTTGAATCCAATGAGCCCCCTTAGTAAAGCCATAGGGGATGGTCTTAGGGACTTTCAACATATAGTAGTCCTCTATTGATTTATTCTACTCCATGATACGTAAAAGGTCGTTTGCCAATTTAAAATATCACATTTCACATACATTTCAATATACTGTGCCCTGGATGATGACATGAGTTGGTTCTAATTTTCAATCTATTAATTTTTTACTTGTGAAACGCTAGGTTCACAGCTGCTGCAATTTTTCCCAGATCAAACACAGTACTCACCATTACATATGAGCAACATCTGGCACACATTTTAAAAAATGATTGGACAATATTATATTTCTCTCTCCCTCCTGCATTTCTTAGTTACTTCTCTTTTGATCTCATTTCCAAGGTCCTTAGCAAGTATCTTTCCCACTTTATTTTCCCTCACTGAGTTCATTATTCGGATACTTAGGGCAAAATCCAATTCTAACATCTACCAATCAGCCATTAATTTTTTATATTCTTTTTGTTACAAAAACTGAACTTTCCATTGGAATGATAGGCAAAAATATAAAATCTTGTGTCCCTAATTCACTGCTTTTTCCGTTTAGAGTTAACATTCCCTAATTATAGTAGTTTCCTCCTATGACTGTTTTTCAAACCATGTTCTTTAGGTTTTAATATCAGGAATGTTATCCTCAAGCTATTAATAGTTGATTATGACAAAAGATTCTATGGATAACTAAGTTTGGGAAGTTAGGTAAACAAAGTTAAACAGATTTACTTATTACAAAACTTTGGAAAACATTTGATATAACTGCTTGAATTGTGAACATTTTAGGATTTTGGCTAGCATGTAAATCTTAGTAGGTTATATAAAAGTACAAAATTATTTTCCCAAGGAAATCATAGAGAGACAAATATTTTACAGTATGTATTTTGAGAAATACTGTGCCTGTCCCTGGTAAGGTGGCAGTATTCACATATAACGTCTGGGAAGTCGCGGATACAGATCCAAGGAGGCTGCAAATATTATGGCCAACCAGATATAGCTACATTGCTGAGTAATGAAACAACTACTTTTAGAACTGAAATGTCTAAAACATTAGGCAAATTATAAATTTAAAACGAGAAAAAGTAAAAATTGTTAATAGATTATTTTAGATCTTTGGGAAAATTACTTTATAATTCTGAATGATAGGGAAGTATGAAGTTTCTTTAACAAAGTGGTAGTTAGTTACTTGCCCATAAAAGGAAAATTAAATTCAGTTAGTTATAAGTCAATCACTCAATAGCTTATTTATTATTATAGCAACCTGTATCTTGTATTATTTGATTTCAAAATGAAAAAGAAAAACAAATACACAGAGATACTAAAAACAAGGCCACCGAGCAAGCATTTTTTTTAAGTAATAAAAATGCATTAAATACCAAATAAATTCAACAAAAAAGTTTGTTAATACTTTATTAGTATTTCCTAATGGACAGAACAAAACACAAACCAAATAAAATTTTTACTTTTTTTTTTAGTTCCATAAAAATAACTGACATTCTGATTGTTTTCTTCTTTGTTAAAGAAGGAAAGTATTGATAGAATAGTTAGGCACACAGTTGACACTTACTGTACAATGATATGCACAAGTTATCTTTTAACAATTATAATCCTAAGATGTGCTCTTTATATTTTTCCCTTGTAATACAGGAGCCATGCTCCTATAAGCAAAATTTACTATTAATAAAAGAATTTTACAAGAGTGACAAAGAGACTTTTAAAACAAGTCTTTAAATAAAAGGATGCAGCAACAACGGAATGTAAGTTGTTGGGTTAAGAAGACATTAAACTAGATCTCAAAACATTAAAAATTCATTTATTTTACAATTATTCAAATACACATGCATTAAATGAAAATATTGCACAAAATTAAAGTTTTAGATTGTGAAATTTATATTGTCTTAGTATTTTAAAAATCGGTACACTTTCTGGTAGCACTTAACTGTTTGATTTTTTTCCCCCCAAACACCAGTAACACAACTTAAAATGAGCAAACTGAAATAGAAAAAAAAAATTTAATGTTTAAAAAAAATTAAGGCTAACCAAGTGCATCCATTGGTCAATGGCACAATTGTTTTCAGCAACTATTCAGTACACCCATATTATAGGAAATGCCAATCTAACTGCTATATTTAAATCATACAATCAAAATTTTTAAGTGAATAAACTACTGAAAGTTAATAATGATGGTTTCTAAAGAGTCTGTTACCTGAAAAATCAGAAAACCCAAAGAATGATTAATTTTTATGGTTTTTGCCTACAGGCACCACTGACTTAATAAACATTCAAAAATCAAATATCAGAAGACATAAAGCCTCTTCATGTATATTTATATATGCAATAAATGCATTAAATGTAATAATTTCATTTAACATAGTACACTGTACTTATGGGTTAAATATTTTACACACAGTTTGACCAAATCATTTAAAGAATATCTCTAATTTTAGGGTGACCACGGCTCTCTCTAATGTAAAACATAGATGTGCATGGAGAAGATGCACAACCATTTACATAGTCTACCATTTGACATTCCTGCTTTTGAAATATAAACTCTCTTAACAAAAATTATTTTAAAAACCCATTTACTCAAATATTTTTTTTGGTATATTGCAGTTATCTTGCAGGGCTCTGTTATGAAAAATTTGCAGTCTTACATGACATCTCTTTCCCTGGTTGATGGCCGGCACTCTTCCCATTATCTAGAAGTGTTTTTTTCACATGTACACAGTAGACTCTTACATGAATTCTTCTGTTTACCCTTAGATTTATTTATGTCAAAAATATCCTTGAACTGGGCAGGGGTATATTTGAAAATCATTGCACTTGTGGCCATGCTGATGCTTTTGACAGACATGTTTCAAACGGCCTCATTTTTAAAGCCTGGGGCATGAGGAGGGACCAGAGCAGGGAGATACACTGAGAAGAAAGATTATTTCTTCCACCAGAGTTAATAAGGGTCTTTTCTCTTTTGTTAAGTTGTAATGAAAGGGATTTCATTTATGTAATTCTGAAGACATGCAACACACGGTGAATAGTTGCATACAAGTATGCACACCAGCATCATTAATATAAATATGATTATTATTATAAAGCTTTAAAGGAAGGCTTTACTCTGCTATTAGGCTTCACTCTTTAAGTAGGACCTCAGCGAAAACAAGACGATAATATCTCGTTCCATTCTCAAAGCTCCCAAATAACTGGGATACCAATACTCTGTCCCTTTATCGTAAGCACCCAGGCGTTCTTTTAATACCAGGATCTTGGCTCAGTGGCCGGATAAGTAGCTTCACTATTTTAAGGTTTTAGTGTTAAATATTTTTAAAACAAAAAATGCTAACACACTCAAACCCTCAGTCAGTGGAAGTGTTTAAAACTATGCAGAAATCCTGCATACAAAGGATAGAAAGACTTCCAAGATGGACACAAGAAGGCAAAAACTAAGGGAAATGCAAAACAGGAAAAGGTATTTTGTTGTTGGTATAAAATTACTGAGGGGGTTTTGCCAACTTGCTTTACTTAGTAGAATTTTACATTATGCAAAATATAAATAAAAGCATATTTTAAAAAATATTATAGTTCTGTTTTTCATTATTTTCATATATGTACACTATAATAGAATTAGGGATTTGTATGTTTACATATGATTAATAAACTCATTTAATCCTTTTATTTGCTATTTTTAAAATCACCTAAGGTATGTCTAGATCACACAATTTAAAATTATCAAATGGTAACTTTCAATAGAGTTCTGTTTCCTTTCACATTTTCATTGTTTTTAGGATAGAATTTTTTGGCTGTCTTTCAACAAATTATACCCTTATTTTATTCTTAAAGGTAAAAAAACTGCAATAATTTTGAAACTTAAGTGAAAGCCACCAGATGCTTTTTTTTTGCACACAGATACCAAAGGAGAACGTGTACTGAGAACTGTAAGAGCAGAGGAGCGCCCTTACAGCATGTTAGAATCAGTTAACGCCGGTTTTATCCAGTGAATAAACCCAATCATCCTGTATCTGATAGGCTTTATTTTATGTCTCAGAGCTATGAATTTGGTTATAAGGTTAATTCATACCTTAAGGGCATTCTGTCACTTTCCCCAGACCCAAAATAGATGTTCTAAAGATCATTTATCTGGATTACCTACAATATATCAAAATTCCAAGAGACTTATAAAATCATTATGCAAAACAAATCCCTCCAAATCACACATTGCACAGTCTCCCACGTTAGACAAATTAGCTCATGTATCTGTGAACCGTTGCTTTGTGCTTTCCTTGGCTCTCATACATACCCTCTGGCACTGTGTCATTGCTGCAGAACGCTGATTAGTTTAAAATCAAAGAGACAGACATCATTCTTGCTTGAGATGGGGGCAGAATCCTCTCAGTGTTGCAAAAATATGCACCAAATAATTTAAGACACGGCAACTCTCTTGGTAGTGATGGATTACAGACAAGGATGAAAAAAAACCACAGTTTTGTAGATGTATTAATAATCTATTTGAGACATTAAGAGACTGGTGCAGGCACAACAGTATATGAATTAAGCCCCAGAAGATCTGTTCACACTTCAGTTCTGGAAAAAAGGAACACCAGCTTCACAGATTGGAGTGTCACCTTTTCTGCAAAGAAGGCGCTTGAGATGTTTGAAGTTTCTGTTTATATTTCTGCATCTGCATTGATCGTGAATGCAGTTTGTTGAAAAGTTCACGGAATTTATACTGTGGAAATAAGGTTTCCAAAAAGCCTTCCAAGAAGACATAAACCATTCTCCGATTTAACTGGTTGTGCTGAAACATTTCAAAAACACGAAGAATACCTTTCCGTGTTGTTTCAGCCCCAATAATGTGCTTCAGTTCATCTACAAAGGGGGGAAAGAAACATAGTTCATTACTTAAATAAAGGAAGCACTAGGCCTACGAGTAAACTATGCTCTACGTTAAACCAAGTATGCAAAGAACATAGCAGAGTAACTAAAAAGTACTAGGTGTTCAGTTAATGCATTTCAGCCCTGTATTGTAACTGAGACGTAAAATTTATACATGTGCATGAATGCCTCCAATCACTAATGCAATAGATACTGGGAGACATGACAGCATATGAGAAAGAAATAGGACCCAGCTTAGGAACCCCAATGAGAATTACAGTCCTGTCCCTTAACACATATACTACATGATACTCACCTACCCTGAGTTTGTTTATCTGTAAAATGGGGATTTATAACAACCAATATCCTTATAACTCTAAGGATTTATAAGGCTTTAATTAAATAATGTGAAAAGTGACCTTTAAACTCAAAAACATATTCCTACTATGTGTAATGCACAATGAGATATACGTTATAAAAAAATTAATTATGTGTGAAAGCTGACATATGATCTCAAAAAAACCTATGAAACAGTAACTGTGCTATTAAAATATAAAAAATATAAAAATGCATATGGAGGGTAGAATTCTACATGAGAATATAAGGCAAGGTCTGTTCCAGGAAGTAACAAATGAAGTGGACGTTGCTACCTGGGCAGGAATCTGACAGATACAACTAGATAAAGGTGGAGAAACATCAGTGAGTGAGCCATAAGGGCACAAAACCAGGCAGACACCAGGAGTGGGGGTGGTGCCATCGGCTGAATCTAGGGTTTCCCTTGAGAAAGTGGACAAGAGAATGGGACTGACAGTGCTGTGAAGAGCGAGTTTGGAGTTTACTCATAGGCAACATGAGGCCACTAGAAATATCGGAGTATGGGGACAATACGTACAATTATTCTTAGTTATTCATAATCAGGACCCCAATAGATAGTAGTACTAGTAAATATTACTCTGGTGCTTGTGAAAGAAACACGCAACTTCAAAAGGTATGTTTCTAACTGGCTTTCATATCATTTAAAACAAGTCAGTGATTATGCACATATATTTTTCTATCTACCTTCACTTCCTGCAAGTCTTCACACAGTGTCATCTTCTCAGGGCCTTCCTGGTCACCTCATCTATGTCTGCAACTTAGCTGACATCTCTTTTGTCCTGCACTCTCTCTCTAGTCTCAGCACTTTCCACTATGGGACATACTGGGCTATTATTTATTGTTTTGTCTGTTTTCTGTGTCCCTTCACTAGAGTGTTAGCTCCAAGTAGGCAAAGGTTAGTGTAAAGAATAGTGTATGGCACACGATATGCTCTCAAAAATCACTTTCAGAATAAATGCATTAAGAATTCTTTCAGCTGCATAGTTGAGTCAGTCTATCGCAAGACCAATTATTCTAGTGGTTTATTACATAATATTTTAAGTTATTGTGTCTTTTTAGTTTTCTGAAATGTTATTTCTATAATTTGCTTTTTATATCCAAATGCAACAATATAGTCTATAGGGAAGAATTAACAGCCATGTGGCAAGTTTCCAACTTCACTGACAGAAGAAAAAGTTGATTATTAAAATCTATGATGAAAATTTAGTTTTAAATTACATAATAGGTATTCTATGATATTAAAGAACTTAATAAATCTATCTTTTAGATTCTCTATATCCATAATTTAAATGTGGAGAGAAGATATCTAGGTATGTCAAAGATATACATAACCAAAGAAGGGACCATATAACCATGCAGCCACACAAACTGCTTATCATATTACATACTTCTCTAAGAGAGAAGACAAAAGGAACAAAATGAATTTAACTTAGTGACTAGCAGTGTTGTAACTCAAATTAGACCACAGGGAGTCATTATGTGTATTTTCTTTGCGATCATGTTTTAATAAAGATTAATATTGGATCAGTCAGTTGTTCCTATGTAAAGGGATTCTTTGAAAAAAGAACAAATATTCTTCCTAAAACTTCAGATTCTTTATTAGCCCTTAAGTCTGTTACATATTTTATTTATCATCAAATTATCTTATAATATTTCAAGGCAGCAAAGTGAAGTGGTTGAAAGCACCATTTTTTTTCAAGTGGTTAAAAGAACTGGCTTTCATATCATTCAGAGCCGAGTCCGAATCACAACCCTTGCTTCTTAGCTATAAACTCTTGAGTACCTTACTTAATCTCTCTGAGCTTCTGTTTCCTCACATATAAAGTTGCAACATTAACAGTGCCTCACTTCATAATATTGTCATGAGGACTGGTTAAGAAAAAAAATGAGGACTGCAGAACAGTGCCTCGTATATGGTAAGTAATGAAATGTAATTGTTATAATCAAACTAGAACGCTCAATGCCAAAAATTCAGAAGAACTGCAAATTAGTGAGTTTTTTACCCAACATGTTCACTCACCTGGCATAATTGAAAGTAGTTTAGTTTTTCCTGCAATTCTTGTTCTCATTCGGATAGCTTTATCTCTGCATGGAACAGCTTCTGCTAAAATGCCATTTGGCCAAAAGGCATCTCTATTTAAAAAGATTAAATTTTTATAACTATTTTATTTTCTAATAATACAAACTGGTACAATTATTCCAATTTTCTACAGAAAACACAAATGTAACAGGAAGAGGAAATATTTCTGAAATTTCATAAAAGTATGATATTCAACAAATAGAAACTAAGTACAAGGTTCAATTTTAGGTATAAAAGGATACACCCAAGAAAGATACAGATGAATTCTGCCCTGATTTAACTTATAAACACTGACAAATGATAAAGATAGCAAAAACGGAATACATAAACAACTGGCCCAGCATTTAACTTCAAAGTAGGCCTCTCCTCTCATTGAGATTGAACATCTCATCTAAATAATAACCTACAACATCCTGAATTTGGGTAGAGTTAATCTCCCTCAGGTCCTTTATCACTAAACCAACATAAAACAAAGTCTGCACCCACACCTCACAGCTGGATTGAGTACAATGTTCCTTTTACACATATAATCCATTCTCCTTCACTTTCACAGCATGTTTCATTCTTGTTCCTTATTTATGAGGCCAAAATCAGGAATTCAAGTACAATAACTAAGCTTCCGTCAGGGAATCTGGCCTAAGGGAGAGAGAATCCCCAGAGTGGTCGTTCTTAACTTTACACATTAGAAACACCTGGGAGCTTTAAAACTCTTAATGGGCAGGCCTTCCAACAGATTAATTAAGTCAGGCTCTGGAGAGAGGCCCACGCAGCAGCACTTTGTAAAGCTTTCCAAGCGATTTCACTGTGCAGCCAAGGCTGAGAATCACTGCTCCTGAGGAACACCACTTACCTACCCTGAAACAGAATCAATGTGTCAGGGCAGTGGTCCAACTTTTGGAAACAGTACAGTACGGAGGAAAATGTAGCTTCAGATTAGAGAAACCCAGTTCCCTGTTTCCAGCACACAAGCTTTTGGGCAACTTCCTAACTTGTCTAATCCTCAATTTCCTCCTAACAAAATGGAGACAAAAATCCCTATCTCGTGAAACATGATAAAACCAGTAAGTGTATAGAAAGTAGTTGGAATAGTACCAAACAAATAGTGCTTAATACTGATAGCTCCCTTCTTGCTTCTATCATTTTAAAATACATGATACCATGAATATTGATGTCTTTGCTTATCTTTCACTCCTAGAAAAGAGGTCCATTTCTCTGCTACACCAGGCTTTTATTGAAGGAACTGCATCAGAGTCCCTGGTGACTGGCAAAGTGCTAGGCATAAAGGAGGGGTTCAAAATATTTTTATTGAATGAACACATAAATTGGACTATAATTGCTCTTAATGTGTATACTTTTCAGAGGTTCAAATAGTTAAAAAATGAGACTATGGCCAGAGACATACATACTTTTTAAAGTTTTCATTTAAAATCGCTAGCATACAAGCGAGAAAACGAAATCCCCAACACTAAGTATTGGATTATATGGCCATGCCTTGTCCGCAGTTATTTTAATTATTTAAAAGCCACTTTAAAATGCCTAACATCTTAAGAATTTTCTTTTATGCTTTTTTCTATTCTGGTTTTAAAGAAAACAAAGATCAATATGCCCATGTAAAAAAAATGTTTATTACAATTCTTACAAGTCTATTGGATCATCAGTGGTAACTAAAAACAAATTTATGGCCAGGAAGAAAAGAAAAGCAATTAGTTAATTAATGATAACAATGCTAAACTCTGTACTACCTGAAAGAAGTGACTGTGTCTTAGATATACCTGAAACGTTTCACTAAGTCCGCTACTTGCTCAGGTGAGGTCATCCAATCAACATGGTCAACTATTTTTCTGAAAGTAAAAAAATTTATATACAGTCAAAATTTTAGGTGAATAAAAGAAACACTACTTTCATGAAGTAATAAGCACCTTAATTTGCATATAAATAATCTCTGAGAGAATAAGACTCCTTTAGTAATGTCCTTAAAGGGCCCAGAGAAGGACATTCTCCTAAGAAGATTGAACTATTTACTTTCAGAAGTAAAAGTTTAAGAGCTAAGTAATAAATGAAGGAAGAAGAATTAAAAAAAATGTGGTACCTATTAATAGTATCACCATATGTGGCTCTAATAAGCTGCTGAAGTAGGTTTTTGATATTTCTTCGCAACCACTGATTTCTCTCTTTTAAGTCGAACACTTCATCCATGAGAAGCAGCATTACTCTAAGCGGAATATTGTCATCCACCTGACAATGTATGAGAAGAAATAAGCATGTTTAATTGAGTTACTTACCTACCATAAATGGACACTTCACAAAATTATTGCTATCATTTCACAGGTCAGAGATCAAGTTATATTATAGCTTGCATAACCTGATATTTCATTCTAACTTAGAAAAGACATTTTAAAAAGACATTTTGACAGAATACAGAATTTTACAGCCCTATAATGATGAGTAAATTCCATGACTATAATAATGGTCTTGGGAAAGATTACTGGCTCTTACTTTTAGCAGTGTTTGTATTAGTTGGATAAGGCAAATACTAGCCCCTTTGCCTATTTCCTGGGGCATCTTTTTCAAAAGAACAAAATAGTCTCAACATCCCTCCTTATCCTATATAATAAAAGCCTAATATGCTAATGATATGCCAAAGCTGCACAACCATTTGCTAGGATATGGACTGACCAACAGGGGGTGGACAGCTGACCAGTCTACCAGTTGCTATGGCATGCACTGACCACCAAGGGGCAGACGCTCTGTCAAGTAGATTAGCTTGCTGCTGGGTCTGGCTGATCGAGACTGAGCAAGACAGGTAGGACATGCCCAGGAGCCCTCCTGTGGTCCCCTCCGGCTGGCCAACCTCCTGCATCCCTCCCTGGTCCTGATCATGCACCGGTTGGGTCCCTCAGCTTGGCTTGCACAATCTGGGATCCCTCCAGGGATGTTGGAGAGCCGGTTTCGGCCCAATTCTGGCCAGGCCAAGGAACCCCAGTGTGCATGAAATTCAAGCACCAGGCCTCTAGTTTTATATAACAAAACACAATCTACACAAAATGTGTTTTGCTTGGTTAGTGAGTTTTATGTATTTAGGTATTTTCAGGGAAAAGAATTTAATAAAATCTAGTAAACAGCTAGCAGTACTAAGACATATTTCTTTAAACTACAAGAATTTTAACATTTAACCAGTAAAAATGTGAACACTTTATAATGGGAATACTTTATAATGGGATTATAAAGTAATCCCACTTTATAATGGGAATACTTCATAATGGGATTAACAATGTAAAAAGTAAAGGAAGACAACTAGAACACTTTGATGCAAAAAAATATATATACAAAGCCAAAACAGGAGCAGATTTAGAAATGAGACAGAATTACATATAATTGCCCGTTAAGCTTATAATTCTTTCATCACTAAGATACTCTAATAATTTCTTCATCAGTGCTGTAATTTAAACAATGAGAAAACAGTATGAGTTATACATTTTTCACTGTAAACATTTTCTTAGTGTACCTTCCCTTTCACAACATACTTACTGAAAGCTAAGAGTTTAACCAAGGGGAGGGAAACATGGTAGTAGGGGAGGCGAGGAGAGATACATTTCTTTATAGAGGCAAAATAAAAACTGTTCTCCGATCAAGTACATTCAAATTTGGTGACACATGTTAATTCTAATATTATAAAAGCTAATATTATAAAACCCTTAACAACAGGTATGATGTTATGGATACTATACCATAATATAAATTATTCTGAAATAGTCTTAAAATAGATTAAAATATTGTATTTTTAAAGATAGTTTATCATAAAGAGGTTTAATGAGAAAATGAAGGGAAATAATCATAACTGTAAAATAAATCTGCCTAATACAATAGAATAGAGCCCATATCCAAACATATACAATAATCTGATTTGTGACAAAGGAGAAGGACAAAAACTGGGTAAAAGAAGGCCTTCTCAGTAACTGGTACTTGGGTCAACTAGACCCCTACCTTATCCATACACAAAAATCAACCTTAGATGAATGCCAAATGTAAGTTTCTGCATGGTAAAACAAACAGAAATATTAAAGAAAACCACATATATCTGTGACCTTCCAACAGGTATGATTGTATATACAGTTAACAAAAGCACACAAAGCAATACACAATCTTACAAAGAATTAATATTTAGATCATATAAAGCATTCTTACTAACCAAAAGACAAAAACAGCCAAGCCAACAGAAAAATAAGGAAAAGCACTGGACACAAAAGACGAGACACCCAAAAGGCCAATAAACATATAAAATGGAGTTCAACATTTCAGTCATAAGATAAATGAAAATCTACATGAGATACAAAAACCATAACAGCTAAAGATAAAAAGACACACTGGCAGGCTTGGACCATTGGAATTCTCATGCATTGTGGGTGGCAGTGAAAGTAGAAAAAACACTTTGGGAAACTATGGGACAGTATCCATTAAAACTGAACCTTGGCCCTAACTGGTTTGGCTCAGTGGATAGAGCGTTGGTCTGCGGACTGAAAGGTCCCAGGTTCGATTCCAGTCAAGGGTATGTACCTTGGTTGCGGGCACATCCCCATTAGGGGGTGTGCAAGAGGCAGCTGATCGATGATTCTCTCTCATTGATGTTTCTAACTCTCTATCCCTCTCTCTTCCTCTCTGTAAAAAATCAATAAAATATATTTTAAAAAAACTGAACCTTGGCATATCCTCTAACCAAGCAATTCCACTGCTAGGTATAGCCCCAAACAGAAACATGTTTATTTTTTTAATCAAAAGACATGTACCAGAACATTCATTGGAATACTATTCATAATACAACAAATAAATTGTACTATATTTACAAAATGGCCACAAGAATAAAGAAATTACAATCACACAAAACAACATGAACAAATATCACAATGTTAAGGGGGGAAAAAAAAACAGACTTAAAGGAGTACGTACCTTATAGTTTCATTTACATAAAGTATAAAAGCAGGGTGGAAGTCAGGATAGTGATTACCCTTGGTGGGGGAGAGCATAGTGACAGGAGAGAGCATTAGGGGCTTTCTGGGGTACTGACAATATCTATTTCTTCTTTAGAGTGCTGCATGTTCAGCTTGTAAAAATTCATCAAACTCAACACAATAAATGTACATTAATGGTAGCTATACGTTAGTATAAGTACTATACTTCATTAAAAAGATCTGTCAAGTATGATTTGAATCATCACTGAATACTACCCAAAATAAAATTAACTCACAGTATCATCAAGTTGAGCTGAGACTCGACAATGTTCAGGATCTGAATCAGTCTTTGGAATTAAAGGAGGCATCTAACATAAAAATAAAATAAAATAAAATAAAATAATATACCCACAGTGAAAGAACAAAATGTAATAATAAAACAAAACAATTATCAAACATAATAAATGGCATTTGATTTGTATATAGTATTTAAAAACTATTCACAATCTAATATTAGAAACCAAGTGTGCTTATTTCATTACTGAAAGATTTTTTTTTTTTTTTTTAATGCTTAACTTTTAGTTGGAAGGGGAGATTACTTAGTCAAAATCCCATACCTTTTTGAAGAATTTAAAACTAAAAAAGGTTAAATGATTTAAAAACCAAAGGTTAGAAACACAGACAGGGAATAAAACTCCAATCTTCTTTCTTTTACCACAGAGAACTTGATAGTATAACAGGATAAAAAACTAACCCTGCTGGACAAACTGTGGTAAAAAAAAAAAAAAAAAAAAAGGACAGGAAGAACAGTACTAGCTGATGATCATTTATCAGCACAGGGAGAACCATCAGGATCATCTGTTATAAGCCTTCCATGTTACTGATGTGGAAAAAGAAGCCTGAGAAAGTTCACGGACTCTGTATGAAGTCACAGAAGTGACACTGGAAATCCTCCTTTCAGGGAGTGACTTCCCATGAATAGAAATGAAGGACGAGAATTAATGGAGAAGTATGACTGACACACACTATTTTAGGAATTGTCTCTTACAGTAAAAAAATTCTGTGTTTCTGTATATTTCCTCTTCATTCAAACTGATCTAATGAAAACTGTAATAGCTATATGTTTTCATCCATAATCTTAATTATGACAAACAACTAGATCAAAATTTGAAGGTACAAATATTAAACAACAAACTACTTGGTCCCCTACCTGTACTTTACCAATTTAAAATATTTGTTTCACATAGATTTTAAAATTATACCATAGCGGAGACTGAGAAGTGACTGGATTTTATAGTATACAGTTCTGTTAAGAATGTATTCTCTTTAGTTATCTTGTTTGTTTTTTAATTCTTTATGAGACTGTATATTAGAGGGCTTTGTACTTCTGAAAGAAATAGGTAAATCCAAGCAGGGACTCAATAAATTTTAGTTGACTTAAAAATAATTTGCTTTAGACATTAATGCAAATTATCTTACCTTGAAAAATGATTGCTTTATGTCTTGACCTAGTCTTTCTGACATTCTGCCCATGTTGTCTGACATTTTAGTCATTCCCTCTGCCAAGCTATCAGGAAGGGATTTAACTGCATTGGAAACATTCCTCATAGAATTTCGAAGTGGATTCACAAAAGTGTCCATCTAAAGAGGAAAAGATATTATATCAAGACTTTATTGTATTAGATCTGTTATTCAACTGAGAAGTCTATGAAAACACAGAGTGTAACATATGAAAGATGCAATAATTTTTCAGTCTATAATAGCTCATTTCATTTAAAAAGTATGTAACTGTATCTTTGATGTGTCTTAAAATGTATTTTCACACACAAAAATATAACTAAAAAAATTTGAGTGATAATGTTATTGAAAGAAAATAAATATAAACTGTGGCTGCCTTATTTAATAAATTCTGAAAATAAAATTTTTCTAAATAAAAACTGATGCAAGTGGAATTAGCTATAACATCCTTTTGCCGCAATTCAAGGCAATGATGACATATTTTGAGGAGATACTGAAAAGTAAACTAGCTGATAAGAAACTGAAAGCTGAAATAACTAGCAAGTGACTATTTAAAATCAATATTTAAAAATAATTTTTAGGGTACATACATTCTATGTTGGGAATTTGAAATCTATTATGAAGGAAAAAAAAAAAAGAAGTTGTAAACCAGATATGTAAATTATATTTGTATAAGGAGAACATAAAAACTATAAAATAAAATATGATCAGAGGTATAAAATGGAATAATCTCAGAGGATTTGTAGCAGTAAAATAGAAATGTGGCTGTACAAATGTTTGATAATTTCAATAAAGAAAGGAAGCAACATCTAAAGAACCAAAGCAGCTAAATACAGAACTATCTGAGGTTTAAAAAAAAAGGGACACACGGGGACACACACACACACACACACACACACACACACACACACAAAACCAGTCATACCAAACTACAAGAATATTTTCCAGAAAATGCTGAGTCTCATAAAAACTACCACAAAAACAAATTATGTGCCAGGCAAAAATAAAAAAGCAAATGGTAGAAAAACTGAACCCCACTGTTTAAGGAACATGGCATAATGTTAATACATGATATAAAGAAGACAAAATTACTCTAATATGCTTTTGTAGTTTCCATCAAGAAAAGTACTTTATTTTTAGAATAAGACAGCAATAACAACAAAAATCCTGAATTTCAAAAATAACTGTAAAAGAGATAGTTTTGGTTACTCCCCAGCTTCAGTTGAGCGAATAGAGCTATAAAAACGCTTGATAGAATATACAACCTACCGGGACATTGTCAAAGAACAACAATTAAGAAATAAAGGACAGAAATGAGCATGAAGAAAGGGTTTGAACAACACTACCACTGGTGAAAAGAAAAATGGAAATAAAAAGGATAAAAAGATGAAGTGTGTGTCTGTCTGTCTATAATTCTAATTCTATACACAGTAATTTTTGGTTAACCATGAGAGTACTCAAATCAATCAAAACATTTTTCCCAACACTGACATTATTGCCAGGAGTTTCTGTTTAACTGGAATGACATTATAAATGAACTATTATAAGAGCACAAGCAGAATTGAGAGAGATAAACATGAAACTACGACATTTAAAATGTATAGCTTGAGGGAAAATTATCACCTGTCTACTAAGTTATAATGTATACACAGAAAAGGTGGAATTTCAGAAGCATAAAAGGCATGAATTTCACTTTAATCCACAACCTACATTAAAAACTGTTTGATGAATCTATCTTCCCACCCCCAGAATCATCAGTCTTTTGCATACTTCCATGTCTCTAGATATATTTTGTTTGTCAGTTTATTTTGTTCATCAGATTCCATAAGTGATGCAGTGAAGGCCTGGGAAGGGGGAGGAGTGAAGAGGAGGGGTAATGGAGGGGAAAAAGGGGACACCTGCAATACTTTCAACAATAAAGATTTAAAAAAATATTGTCAAGGAACAAACTGATGGTTACCAGAGGGGGACTTGAGAGGCTGTTTGGAAAAGGTGAAGGGATTAAGAAGTACAAATTAGCCACAGCTGGTTTTGCTTTCTGGTAGATTGTTGGCCCATGGATTTGCACTAAAGAGTTTCAGGTTCAATTCCCATCAAGGGCAAGTATCTGTTTCAGGGCAGGGTCCAGGGAGCTTGCAAGAGGCAATCAATCAATGTGTGTCTCTCACATTGATGTTTCCCTCTAACCCATCCTCTTCCTTTCCTCTCTCTAAAAATCAATGGGGAAAAAACATCCTCAGGTGAGGATTAACAACAACAACAACAACAACAAAAAAGTACAAATTAGCAGTTACAAAATAGTCATGGGGATGTAAAGTACAACACTGGGAATATAGTTAATAATCTATAATAATAAAAGCATAATATGCTAATTAGACTAGACAGTCAAATGACCTTCTAGATGTCCTTCCGGACAAAGCTGCTGTGGTAGGGGCCGACGCAGAGGCGGTTAGGCAGGCAGGTGGGCAGTTAGGGGTAATCAGCAGGCAGCCAGCAAATGGAAGAGTAGAAATTTGAACCAAAGGCTATCTGATCCCAGTTTGTATTCTCACCCACAAAGCTAATCTTGCCCAATTTTAGCACTTAATTACTTATTGTTTTAACCTAGTATCTTATTCCAAGTATAAGTCTTACATCCAAATTTAATTTTAAATAAGGATTTTACTTAAGTATGAAAAACATATCCTATTCAACATTTTTCTTATTCTTACTCCAAGTTAAGACATTTCCTCTTAGTAAGAAACAGTTCCTTCTGAAGCTAATGAAAAGCTTGTGACTTGTTTTAGGCACACCTTCATCAATGCATCATTTCTAAGTTTTTTTCCCCCCTTTCTGTGAAGGTACTAGTACTGGTGGATTTAATATACATGTAAAGATAGGACTTTATGCTTATTAGGTCCACCTAGTGAAGGCTTAGTAAAGCACAGAAGATAAATATGCTATGACACATTTAACAAAATTTGTTTTAAAGCATACACAAGTATAAATTTATTTCCTTATATTGAAAACAAAGTATGACAACAGATCTGTAAGAAAATCAATGCAATCGTCTGCTTACCTTGCGAGCAAAATCCCCCTTCCCTTTACTGTAGGCTTTATTCTCAAGGAAATCATACACATAGTGAGCCAAAATTGGGGATGCTTTCATCATTTCAGGAGTTAACAGTAACTAACAGAAAAAAAGGGTAAAAATTTCAATTTTACATTAAAAAAATAATTATGCAGTTAAAGTCATCAATAATTCTATGACTTTTAATATTAGGATATATACTATTCTCCCCATCTATTCTTTTGACTTTCAGTGTATCCTATCTAATAAAGAGGAAATATGCCAATTGACTGCTACACCCTCAAAGACGGTGGCACTCAGTCCCCTCAGCCCCACCGGGGCAGCAGGTGTGTTGCATGGCCAGGTCCATACCAGGAGGTCTGGCCACTCTGCGTGCCTGCCTCCAGTCCCCCAGTCTCCTCAATCCCTCAGTCCGCCAGGGCAGCCCAAAGATCAGGTAACCAGGGCTGGCCAAGGCTTACACTGCTGGCAGTGGCAGCAGCAGCAGAGGTGTGATGGGGGTTTCGCCTTCCTGATCGCCAGGTTAACTCCCTCCCATGAGGGCTCCCAGACTGTGAGAGGGGCAGGCTGGGCTGAGGGACCCCCTCTTCAATGCATCAATTTTCATGCACTGGGCCTCTAGTTTAATATGAAAGTTGTCCAAATATATTTACTATTCCATTTTCAGATTTTACAGCTAATCCTAAAATCCACATTAGTAAATTATTGTTATTCACATACTAATTTCAAATTTAACATTAATAGAAAGTACATTTAAAAATCCAGGCAAACACTTTTAAATGTTGCCACACACAAAAAAAAATAGTTTTCACCAAAAATATTTCATGATATAACCTAACACTAATTTAATTCCTTCAATGAAACACATTTTTGACATACTGAGTTCTTTAGCTATATTAAAATGAAAATCTATGGGGAAAAATAAACATAAACTTACCTGCAAATATGCATTAAGATCCTTTTTTCTCTTTTCTAAAAAATCCCTATCCATATTATTAAAAGTTTTTTTTCCAGGAAGCTTCAATATACTTGACAGATTTTCAAACTAGAAGATAAAATACATTCAATAATCTTAATATTTTTAATAAAAGAGAAAAGTATTTCCCTAGTTATAATTTATATATTTAAACCATCTTGAAACAGATCATTTTGCAATACATTTTACTAAGTAAAAATCAGAAAATAGAAAATTATTTTCTAAATATGTCCAAGTCAATTCTTTTTAAATTTTTTTATTTTAGCCCAGCCCAGTTTGGCTCAGTGGATAGAGCATCGGCCTATGGACTCAAGGGTCCCAGGTTTGATTCCAGTCAAGGGCATGTTACCTTGGTTGCGGGCACATACCCAGTGGGTGGTGTGCAGGAGGCAGCTGATCTTTGTTTCTCTCTAATCAATGTTTCTGACTATCCCTCTCCCTTCCTTTCTATAAAAAAAATAAATAAATATAATAAATATATATGTATATTTTTATATATATATTTTAAAAAATTTGTTTTCTCATCACCATTTATACCCTCTATGCCTTCTTCCACCTTGACCTATCCCCTTCTTCCCCCACAATCCATGAATTCTCTCTTTTTTTTCTTTTTTGCTCAATCCCTCCACTCTCCCATCCCACGCCCTCAGAACTGTCTCTCTCAGAACTGTCTGCCTGGTCTCTAGTACAAGTCTGTCTCCATTTTGCTTGGAAATTTCTTAAATTCCACATATGAGTGAAATCATAGGTAGTTGTCTGTCCCTGACTGGCTTATTTCATTTAGCATAAAGTTCTCTGGGTCCATCCATGCTGTTGCAAAGGCAAACCAGAGTTCTAAAGTTATATATTATAAAGTAATTTCAATAAAGAATAACAAACATGGATAGCTGATGAAGATGGATGATATTTACATGGGGTTTCATTTTAATACTTTCTCCAATTTTGAGATTGTTCAAATTTGTTATAATAAAAAGTTTTAAAAATATTGTCTATAACAATCCTTTGACTTGTAAATAAAGTATTAGCAAATAAGTTTTTAATGATCAAAGTTATGTGTTTCTGGCTTGTTAAAAAATCTTATAAAGTATTATTTTTATATTGATGACTTCAAATAAATTAATTCTTGAAATGACTAATTATTAAAAGTAGAAAAGAAAATTTTTAGATATAGCTTACAACTTTATTACAATTCTGTATATACACAGCTGAGTACTACACTGATACTTTCCCTCCAACCACATGAAAAATAAAGCGCTAGATTACTTAACACTTGGGTGCACCTTCAAAGCTCCAGCTAAACAGTAATCTGCTGTGCCTCACTGAAGCACAGTTTTAACCACACTAGCTACTAACAAACATTTTAAGATGAAAGTCATTTAGCTAGTGATTGTGTCTGGCCAACAGCATCGCATCTGAAACTTTAAGCAGTCTCATTGCTTTTCCCATGATACATATTCGGAAGTGAAACAACTTTCTAAAACCATTCTATGTTCAAAAGCACATTCATTCCTGGAGCAGAGATTAAAGAGAAGACGAATGAAAAGGTCTAGGATAATTTTCATCCCCAAACTGGGAGATTCTGATAAATTAAATGGAATGGCAAATCTGATGGTTGCTTGGAGCTTTAATGTGAACAAGTTCATTGTATGTTACACATGAAAGATAAAAGCTCCAGGCAAGGTAGGGGGGAAAGTAGAGAGGCAAGTTATAGGGGAGAAGTTATGCTGTAGCAATGTTCATAAATTTGGCGATTCACAAAACTATTAGAATATGTCCTCCTTGGATATCAAATGTCCAATGGATTAAATTTTTTAATCACACCTATTAGACATAAATTAGTTTTCAAGGAGTCCTAAAATATTTAATTTCCTGGAATATTATAAACATTATCTTAAACTATGGACTTGATTTTACAGAACACACAGTTTACTCTGGCATTACCAATATGGTATGGACTGTAGTTTCCCAATATGAAGACCTAACCTCCCGTGTGCCAGAATGTGACTGTGTGAAGAAAGAGCCTTTAGAGAGGTGATAAAATTAAAACAAGTTCTTAGGGTGGGTCCTAATCTAATCAGGTTACTGTACTTATAAGAGGATGAAATCTGGACATACAAACACCACCAGGAATGAGAGCCCACAAAGAGGCCATGTGAGGACACATGAGGACAGTCATTAAAAGCCAAAAAGAAGTGCTCAGGGATAGTAAGGCCAAAACTGAGACCTGGACTTCCAGCCTCCAAAAAATAAATATGAGAAAATAAATGTTTGTTGTTTAAGTCACCCATTCTGTAGTATTTTATTAGGATGAAATAACTATGGGAATATAACAGTATCCAACAAAACAATTTATTTCAGAAACTTTAAAATATTAAGCATTATTAATAAAATGAAAAAATAAATGTTACAATAACAGTTATTTTCTTAAAGTCTAAATTATCAAACTCCTTTTAAAATTATCTGTCTGGAACAGAGGTATTGATGATTAATAGTTTTCTAAAGTATTGTTATTATAAAAGGAAAAAATGAGAAATTTTATACTTCATATTGACATTATAAACTTGGTATTTGAAAGATTGTTTATAAATACAAGGTATCCCTGAAAAATAATATAATTCTATGCCAATAATTCATAAAAATGTTTTTAAAGGCATGTAAAAGAAATTAGAAATTTACCTAAAGAACTCACAAGAATAAAATAAAGAGTATTACAATGCTCACAAAAAACTCAAATACTATATGTAAATAATAGACATTCCAAAATTGAAGATTTTATTTTTCTACCTCAAATATGTCAGGTTTAGATTCCAGACACATTGCTGGAAAATTTTAAAAACATTCTTGAACTTTTTTATCAGAAGGATTTAAAATGAGTTTATATCCAGTCGCAAAAATACACTTACTCAGTTACATCAATGCATACTTAATATCTTTTAAATTACTACTTGTACTTATACTCAGTTACAAATCACTCAATGAAAAAGACAAGCACAGTATCTACTGAAATATAAACTAGAAGCAAGGACCTGTCTTGTTCACGATTATTTTTGCAGCACTGAGAACTGCCAAGCATATAGGAAAAGCTCAATAAATATTTGTTAAATAAATGAATAGGGGGTTCAGCCCATTTCTAAAATAATATGACATTTAACATTTTAATTATTTCCTTTTATTTTTATATATCCTTATTCATAAAGACATACTCAAAATGAGCAGGAAAAGCAAACATATCCAAAATTATTAATTTCCTTCTAAATATAGTTCAAAAATAGTCTTTTTAATATGGGCTTCTGGAGTCAACACTAACCTGTTTTTAATCATTCTTAAAGTTATTAGAAGTTTAGCTATCATTAAACAATCGTTTTAATGAGATTACCAATGCCAACCATTTTCTCTCTATTCTCTTAAATGAAAAAGGCACTTTCTGATTACTACACTAGTACAATGTCATTTCAAAGCTTTAGTCCACCCAATCAAATGTCACCATTAATTAGTATAATTTGTATTGGCTTAATACCAGTTGTATATTTATAATCCTTGAATGAAATCAAAGACTCGAGTTAAAATAAATTTCATAGATCACCTACTCCATTCATCTAGTGATAATTTATTTCCTTCTAAATTAATGATAAGAACATATTTAATAAAAAGTAGAACAGAAATAATTTATGTTTATTTTTAAAAGTCCTTATATTTCTACAAAACAAGAGGGTTGTATTTAATACAAATTAAAAACATTATTATTTGGTAATGTTAAATTTAATATAGGTTATGGTTCTTAAAATAATGTAATGGATCAAAGATTTAACTGTTACGATATTAAATAAGGATGTCATCTAAAATGACTATAGCTCTGAATTACACTGCTGAAAACCAAAAAATATTCTACAGTGATCACCTTCCTTATTTTATTCCTTATAAATCCAAACCCAAATACCTCTCTAATAAGCACGCACGCATGAAGACACACACACACACACACACACACACACACACACACACGACTCAAAATGAGAAATATACACTCATGTTAATTTCTCAAGGTATACCATTGATATTTTAACTAGTCCACAATGGTTATGATTAGTTAAAGTCTGATTTATTGGTTAAATGTTCAAAATCATTCTAACGTTTATACTGATTTTACACAAATTCTTTGTTTTCTTTCATTGGCTTTGATTAATACCTTAACATCCTCAGAACTATTAAGAATTAAACATTGAATCAGGAAACAATTTAAAGCACACACTTTAAAACCTCATTACCTGTTCAGTGATTCTCATGTGGAAGTCATGGAAGTCACTGTAACGACGATAGGTTTTCCACATCTCCTCACTGTTTAGATTGCGTCGGTGCACAGTGATGGCATACAATGCATATGTCTTGCCATGATCATTACAAACTCCTGCCACAGCATATGGGTCACAGTCAGCATATACTAGTCATTTAAAACAAAATGAAGAGGAACAAAAGACACAAAAAAAGGAGGAAGATGAAGAACAAAAACAAAAAGGACAACATGAAATGAAGAATTTGAAATGACAGACTGAGACAAAAGGATGTCACCAGGGGATAAAATAGAATTCCATCCTCTCTACTCGCACCCCTAAAGCATTATATACGACTAGAGGCCCGGTGCACAACATTCTTGCACGGGTGGGGTCCTTAAGCCTGGCTGGTGATCAGGGCCTATTAGGGCTGTCTCTCCCGGGCCAGATTGGGGCCAGGCCAGCCAGGGCCTGCTGGCTGCTGGACAGGGCCTGCCAGATGGGACCAGCCAGATGCGGGGAGGGACCGGGGGAGGTTGACTGTGGGAACACACTGACCACCAGGGGGCACCTCCTGTATTGAGTGTCTGTCCTCTGGTGGATAGTACATGTCAATGCAACTGGCCAACTGATCATTCTGGTCATTATGGTTGCTTAGACTTTTATATATATTGATGGCTACATTGCAAAACAAGCTACAAGTTTATGATGACCAACAACCAACACATACCAACCACATAGTAATGTCTACTTTGAACAATCTCCCCAAGGACTTTTACCTATATTATAAGTTATGATACCACAATACAACTTCACAGCACAGCATTGGAGTCTGAAATTTAATCGAGGAAAAATAACAGAAACAAAGTAATAACCTTTTGTACTAGCCTTCACTATTTAGATATATTTCAATTAAAATATCCACAGCTAAACAGAAAGCAAAAGAAATGGAATAAGGTTTATCTGCTATTTTGGCAATTCATTTCTAATCAACAATTCAGAAGTGTAGTTATTTTGGAGACTTTTTACAGGCATTTTCCTAATTTTCCACAAATTATCTAAGTCCACTAGTCTTTAAAATCAAAACCTATTCATGTTTCGTACTATTCTTTTTTTTAAAAATATTATTTTATTGACTTTTTACAGAGAAGAAGGGAGAGGGATAAAGTTAGAAACATCAATGAGAGAGAAACAACGATCAGCTGCCTCTTGCACGCCCCCTACTGGGGATGTGCCCTCAATCAAGATACATGTCCTTGACCAGAATCGAACCCGGAGCCTTTCAGTCTGCAGGCTGACCCTGTATCCACTGAGCCAAACCAATTTCGGCTTCATTTTGTACTATTTTTATGCAAGAGATGCCCTTTCAATCCTTTCTTTGTATTTTCTAGTTTCCGCTTATTTTTCTGCATTGTATTCTCCTCTAGATCATTTCTTCAGGTCTCCAAAAAGTTTACTGAGTCTCTACTCATCAGTATTTAGTCTTATTCCATCCACTGACTTAATTCCAATCACTATATTTTAATTTCTGTAATTTTACTTGGTTATTTCGTGTTGCATTCTTTATGAATATTTTATACATACTCAGGCTAGGACAGTGGTCTGCAAACTCATTATTCAACAGAGCCAAATATCAACAGTACAATTGAAATTTCTTTTGAGAGCCAATTTTTTAAAACTTAACCTATATAGGTAGGTACGTTGTTATTAACTTAATTAGGGTACTCCTAAGCTGGCCTTTGCTAAAAACTCAAGGGGCAAAAGAGCTGCATGTGGCTCACGAGCCACAGTTTGCCAACCACTGGGCTAGGAGATGCTGTGTCACATAATCACTTGAGGATAGATGAATCTAGACATACCTATGTTGGGATATCCTATACAATAAAAATGTAATATGCAAATTGATCATCACATCCTCGCACAAGATAGCCACCACCATGTGGTCACAAGATGGCCTGCAGGGGAGGGCAGTTTTGGGTGATCATTCCAACAGAGGAGGGCAGTTAGGAGCAACCAGGTCAGCAGAGGAGAGTAGTTGGGGGCGACCAGGCCTGCAAGGGAGGGCAATTGGGGACAACCAGGCCTGCAGGGGAGGGCAGTTGGGGACAACCAGGACTGCAGGAGAGGGCAACCAAGCCAGCAGGGGAGGGCAGTTGGGGTGACTGGGCCAGCAAGGGAGGGCAGTTGGGGGCGATCGGCCAGCAGGGAAGGGCAATTGGGGAGATCGAACCAGGAGGGAAGGGCAGTTGGTGGCAATTAGGCTGACAGGGGAGCAGTTCAGCATCTATCAGTCTGGCAGAGGAGTGGTTAGGGGGTAATCAGGCTGGCAAGCAGAAGTGGTTAGGGCAAATCAGGCAGGCAGGCAGCCGAGTGGTTGGGAGTCCTGGATCAGGCCTAAACCGGGGTTTCAGATTGGAAAGTGTGCAGGCTGAGCTGAGGGACCTCCCCTCACCCAGTGCACAAATTTCGTACACCAGGCCTCTAGTAATATATAATTTGACAAAATATAAAACTGGAGAAAGGCTGGTTATGTTGCTCTCAGGAGCTTAAACTGTAGCTAATACTATATTTCACTGCTTTCCTCTTCCAATCACCCTTCTCTCAAAGACCTATGCATAACAAAGTACAATACACTTTTTCATCATGTTAGAGAACTACCATCATTGAAGAGAGTTAGCATGTAAACAAGGGAATGGCTTTATCTGTTGTGTTTAAGATAGTTTTGGGAAAGGAAAATAGAAAACAGAAGTCAATTAGTCAGCAAACCATAACCAAATAGGAATTAATAAAAGCAAGGAATAGAAAAAGAAAGAGAAATGTAAAAAAGCATTCTAAAAAGAAATAATCAGATTTGTCACAAATTAATAGGCACAAAGATCATGACCTAGATATGTTGCACCATAAGAAAAATAAGAGGTTATTATAAAAGAAGCACAGAAGACAAAAGGTAATTTGGTTTTAAAGAAGATAAATGAGGTTACATATACTGATTTTGAGATGATGCTGAGATATTACAGTGGAAATAGGTTTTGTTTTCATTAGGATTATGTTACTCATAGCAGGTGATGTGCAAACTATCTGTTATTAATCTATAGCCAATTAAAAAAAAATAGGACCAGAATATAAATCAATTTCATCACTAAACATGGTGCTTAATTTAGCCAATATTTTTTAAAGCAAGACTTCTCAATGAAGGAAGCACTTGTCTATGGACCACTCTGAGTAGCACTATACTAGACTATCAGTTCTTCTTATAATAAAGATGTTAAGGGTGTGACGATCTAGACTCAAGAGAGAATCAGGAGGTCAATCTATATATTTATATAAAAGCCCAGCGACCTGAACAGCAGAACAACCAGAAAGACCAGTGGCTATGACACGCACTGTGGCAGCTAACCAGCCTGATTTGAGCCCCTATCAGCCACTACCCCCCGCCCCCCAGCTGGCCTTGTCCCCAATCTTCTCCCAACACCCCAATGAGAAGCAGGGCCAGCTGCTAACTGCCCCCATCCCCCCCACCAGACGCCCATTCCCCCCCCCCGCCCCACCAGCCTAACCCAATGGGCCCCTATTAGGGCAGGCCGGCTGGACCACACCCATGCACAAATCTGTGCACCAGGCCTCAAGTTGATAGAATAAACATTTATTGAACAAGCACTAATATAAAATCCCCATCATGTTATTACTATTGTAATAAGTTAACTAGTCCTACAATAACCCTATGAGGTAAGTATTACTAATTATTAGTATTATTATCCCATTTTACATATAAGGAAATTGAAGTATAGAAGTTAAAGAACTTACCCAATTTCACTCAAGTATTAAGTAGCAAAGCTCGGGTTTCAACCCAAGCAATCTGGACAAAAAGTTGTGTTCCTAACCACTATGTATGCTGCTTCTTTAGTATTTAAATGTTTGTCTGACAGAAATAACAATTTATTAAAAATGCTTAACATTGTGCTTCCTACAAGAAGTTAATAAATATTTGCTGAATAAATGGATAACAGAGCTGAAAAATCAGAACTCTCAGAGAAGAGAAAGATCCACAAAAGAAATATGGACATGAGCATCTTCCTCTAGACATGAAAGCTTAAGGTCTTCAAGAAAGAAGTAAAAGCACAAATACTAAATGTTTGCACTTTAATAAAGCCTTTCATATTCGGAAGACAAGCCAACAAAGAAAATAGAGGTTTATAAAAGAATTTAAAATTGTAATGAAGGAAAAGGTGGGACAACTCTAGCAAAAGCTAGAAAGAAAAGCAACCTGATTTTATTGACAAGGTTTTTATCTAAGACCTTTAAGAACAGAGTAATGTGTACACCAATGATTTATAAAAGAAAAAGAAACTGAGACAGAAATTATAGATAAGTTATTACAAAAATTTAGCAGAGAACAGAATGCAAAATGAAATTTCAGCTCCAGTAAGAAGCAAAAAAACACACACCAGATTTTAAAAAATAATGCCAATTATCTTAAACTGCACTTATACTATACATTTTATTTCAGTATCTAAAACGTAAGCATTAAATTGAACTGCGATCTATATCTCAGTATATCTATACTTTAATATGTAATCTAACACAATACTCCTATATTCTAGGACCAAGGAGAGGCCACATAAGAAAAATTTCATTATCTACTACTTGCTGACTTTATCTAATAACCTACTGGCAAGGATGAATACTGATTTTTTTCTCAGTTCACTAACCATATTGCTGATTGAGACACAAAATCTTAGAGGTTTCTCACCTAATCCAAGCATGTCTTGAACTTCTGTAAACTCCTATACCCAAAAGCTTCATTTATTCAGTTATCTAATTGGCTTTGCATTCATGAAAATAAATTCTGAACTAAAATCTGTCTCCCAAATGATTTAATGAGAATTATGCAGACAAATATCAGCTAGATGCAAACAAGAAGAGAGAAAGATTGGTTCAAGTTTATTAGCAATGACAAAATACTTAAGAATTTGAGCTTTTTTAAAATGTTAACAGTGACAACCTTACAGAAAGAAAATACCTATATCCACAAGTAAATAAATATAGAATTTAATGAGGAACATGCTGCAGGGGGAAAAATTAACTTAAAGATATGACTACAGAAGAATGGTTTATAAAAATAAATGTGGAAAATAATATAAGGGTAATAATAATCAAATTTTTAAGGCTCTTACCTGTGTCTGAAATATAAGCATGAAGTTGTATTAAATCATCAGAAGATACACTTGAAAGGTCATCTAAAGACTTGGGGGAAAGGAGGAATGAAGAAAAAAATTTTTTGATTTTATAGGAAAAAAGTGTTAAAGAATTCCACATCAAATATGCATCACTCACCTTTGCCCCATATAATCTTTATATTATTTGTATACTCCCCCACCCTCAACAATAATCTTCACTTTTACACCAACAGTAAAAAGAAAAGCCAAGATTAAGAAACTATAAAATAAAGTAATTTAGAAATAATCTTAATCAATCAGATTATTTCTTCCTTCTCTGCTTATCCATATGCTAAAATTTGCTACCTCTCAGTTATATTCAATACATGGCAAGACAAAATGAGGATAAAAATAAGTGGACATATTTTAATTTAATGTTTCAATTTTTTAAAATGTTGAGATATACTATAGCCAACTCTGTATTATTTAAATGCACTTTTGTTAATTTAAAAATAATTTTAGTTAATTTAGATTCTTTATAAAATAAAAATAAAGGTACCTACATCACAGGATTATTGAGGATTAAATGAGAAGACATGTAAAACATTTAGAAGACTGCCTAACCCCAAAATTGTCCACTATTATTATGATTATATATTAAGTGGGCTGAATTCATAACCCAAGATGGATTTTAAATAATTTTCAAAATTAATTTTACAAACAAAAATTATTACTAATTGATCAAGATCTTTTGAAACTATGGCTTTTGGGTCTAAATTTAAAATTTTTGCTATACATATATTATATAGTTATAATATATGTAATATTATATATTATATAATTAGTAATAATTTTTGTTTGTATACACACACACACACACACACACACACACACACACACACACGCAGTCTCCACACATACATAGAAAATAAAATAATCACATAATAAAGACAGACTGTACAGAAAAGAGTTAACAGAGCAAGCTTGAAACAGTGTGAGACTGCTTGCAATCTTGGCCCTTGGATGGCATCTAGGAATTCGATTTAGGGAAGGTTCCTGCCATTCCCTACCTGCTAAGAGTGGTTCACACTGCCTGAGTTGTTTATACAAGGATGTGGTTTATCCTGAACACCTGCTTTCCTTCTGGAAATCTGGAATTTTGGCATATGCTAGTCAGAGTGTGGGTACATGACCTGCCTCCAATAAAAACCCTAGGCACTTAGTTTGGTAGCTTTCCTAGTGGCAGCATTTCACCTGTGCTGTCACATTCATCATTCATCATAGGGGAATTAAGTTTGTCCCATGGGATTTCCATGGGAGAGGATACTTGGAAATTTGTGCTGGGTTTACTTTGGGCTTTACTCCATGCAACTTTTCCCTTTGCTGATTTTGCTTTATTTCCTTTCGTTATAATAAATCCTAGCCGTAAGTATGATTATGTCATGGTCTGTGACACCTTTTAGTAAATCACTGATCAGAGGAGTGGTGTTGGAGACCTCTGACACACAAACATTATATGATTCTGACATATTTTACACTTTAATAACCATATTAACTGAATGAACTTTGAAGTCCTAATGTGATATTACCAATCATTACTAAAAGAGTCATCTAAACGATTAGAATGCAGCCATATTGATGACATAAAACCATTTAAATTAAGGCAATTGCACTCTAAGATATATCTACTAAAGACTGATATATATCAGTCTAAAGACTGATAAAATATATCTACTAAAGACTGATCATTAAGAGAAGCAAATGTGATAAATCCATACAGATATTACTACACTCCTCTGGTCAAGTGGGAGGATCATCAAATTAAATCAGGTCTAGTTCAGCTTCACCACTGATACCATAAGAGACTTTAGCCATATCAACTAGTCTCTCCTGAATCTAGTTTTCTCAATAATACATTGCCAACTCTAAACTCTGTCAAGATAGAATATGAATGAAAATATTTTTTAAAGAAACAGAATTTATTTTTAAGTGCTCATATAACCTGTAATAAAATATTGCAGTAGAAATAGCACAATTTTTGCTTTAATATTACCCTTTCATGAAAGAAGATGCAGAGGAAATTGAGTATTCTACAAAATTTATATTATCTACACTGATTTTCAAATTACAAACCAGCACAGGGAACAGAAAACAATCAAGTTTTCATCCTGGCTGGTGTGGCTCAGAGAATAGAGTGTTGGCCTGCACACCTAAGGGTCCCAGTTTGATTCCTGGTCAAAGGCACATTTCTGAGTTGCAGGTTCCATCCCCAACCTGGTCCTCACATGGGCAGAGGGCAACCAATCCATGTGTCTCTCTCACATTGATGCTTCTCCCTCCCTCCCTTCCTTCTTCCCTCCCTCCGATTCCTCCTTTCCACTCTCTTTAAAACCAACCAGAGGTTTTGTTACAGAAAAGTTATTCTAATCTAGAGACCCAGTGCATGAAATTCATGCACGGGGAGGGGGGGGATATGGGGTGTCCCTCAGTACAGTCTGCACCCTCTCCAATCTGGGACCCCTAACAGGCAATCAGACATTCCTCTCACAATCCAGGACTGCTGGCTCTCAACCACTCACCTGCCTGCCTGCCTGATTGGCCCTATCTGCTTCTGCCTGCCAGCCTGATAACCCCCTAATTACTCCCCTGCCAACCTGATTGCCACTAACTGCCCTCTCTTGCCAGCCCGGTCACCCCTAACTGCCCTCTCTGCAAGCCTGGTTGCCTCTAACTGTCCTCCCTGCAGGACTGGTCACCCCTAACTGCCCTCTCCTGCAGGCCTGGTCTCCCCCAACTCCCCTTCTCTGCTGACTTGGTCACCCACAACTGCCCTTCTCTGCAGCCATCTTGTGGTGGCCATCTTGTGTCCACATGGGGACAGCCATCTTTGGCCATATGGGGGAGGCCATCTTGTGCCTTGGAGTGATGGCCAATTTGCATATTACTCTTTTATTAGAGAGGATAATGAAAATTATTCTAACATTTTCTTACTGCTCTAGGAGCTATTTCTTTTTGTTTTAAGGGTATAGAATATAACAAATAAATGATGATACTAAATGATTTAGGAAAACATTTTAAATGTTACAAAATATCTGACATAACACTAAATGATTTGCTGTAATATTTTGTTAAAGGTTATACTTTGTATGGTAATAGAGCAGTTATTCAGTGAGATTATTTTAGAAATATGTGTATGGAATAGACAACATAAGATAATGGACCTGTAAACCACTTAGCTATTGCAAAAAGTCTGAGAGAAAGTTATGTAGATGGAAGGAAAAACCAAGCAAACAATATCATGGGACACCCTGCAAGCTCTGGACTAAAACTTCAGAGAACACTAATATTTTACTGTTATATTAGTATTTTACGAAATAAGTTATTCAATGGAAATACTATAAAGGAACTGAAATGTTCATTCACAGCTCACCTTATATAACATGAAACATTAATGACATCTTATACGCTAAAAACCTGTCATCCTTAAACCTATAATCGTCCTTAAACCTATAATCATAGAGTAGTTGCCTAATTCATTATAAAACTCTATACAATTAAAAAAAAATCACAACCACCTAAATTTGTTAAAGTATAGATATTAAGAAGTATCTAGAAGTTTTCAGGTATCCCAACTAGTTTTATATTTCTTTTCTAAATACAAAAGAAGAAAAACGAATTCCAATGTAAATTATTTATATGTCACAAATTTACTATCATTGTACTAAGCACAGTAATTTAAAAATACTAAATGAAAATGTTTTATTTTAAAATTCTAATTCACAGATATCTTATAGCCACGTTTAACATTTCTTTAAAAGAACAACTTTTATAACACTAACGGATGATTTGGGGCTTCTAAATATATTATTCATTTTCACAGCTTAAAGCTCATATTATTTTCAAGCCACCTTAATAATTAAGTTCCCATAACAGTACGTACCAAATTTATGCTTCCTGTAGGAGACCCATTAAAAGATTCTGTGGGAAAGAAAATTCAGCTTAGAATACAGTAAAAGACTTTGAAACCGTTGCTTTATCTAAGGTTCAAACACCAAGAATGAAAGTCAGCCAAGCCAAGACATAACAGAAGAAAGAAAACTGTCATACACTATTCCTAAACACCTGTTACCTTAAGGCCCAGGATTTCCCCAGCCAGGAATTTCAGTGGGAGAAAAAAAAAAAAAAAAAAAAAAATATATATATATATATGTGTGTGTGTGTGTGTGTGTGTGTGTGTGTGTGTGTGTGTGTGTGTATGTATATATATGTATATATGTTGATGGGGCAAAAATAGGTTTATAATTGTTCATATTGAAGATAATACAATAATAATAATGTAAAAATAAACTTTTATTTTGTGTATTCACAACTATAAACCTACTTCTGCCCCACTCTGTATGTACCTAAGTTGCCTACACACACAAAGGCATTTATGTATAGAGAGAACAACTATTAAATTATTTATCCTCATAGTGTATCAAGTTGTCTAATACAATATAAACATGAGGAAAATACAGCAGACAGTGTTCAATATGTGAGAAGTATTTTGTTGTTTCTGTTTCTTAATCGGTTTCACTGGATTAAGAAATGTTACAAATAAAATTATTCTTTAGTGTGAAAAAACAGATTGATTTTTAATATATCTTTATACTTTTTCTTGGTAGATTTGGTTCAAAAACATTATAAGTCTAGATTTTTAAATCACTGTAAGTAATAAGACAAATATATGTAAAACTCCATATGCAATGCTACTTAATTAAAAAGCAACTAAAATTATTTTTTAAAATGTTAGAAAATAAGTCAATTACCGTATTTCCCGCGTATAAGACTGTGTTCTAGTAAAAAGCCTGCTCAGATTGGCCAGAGTCAGAGAGGCGGTCTGTTAAAAAAAGAACTGGTGTTGCCTTGGAAGTGGAGGGTAGTCTTATACAGTGAATATAGGCCTAAACCTATGTTTTAACTGTAAAATTAGGGGGTCGTCTTTTGTCTTATACGCCGGAAAATACGGTATACTTTTAGAAAATTAACTCTTTGCACATCATAAGTGTCATCTATACTCATAAGCGGCAAACCTTCCCCCAACACACCACTCTCATCTATAGCTACACATCTTATGTAACAACTCTGGTCGCCCAATTTTAAAATCAGGCTTGTTAGTGACATCTCTACGTTTGTAAAGAAAATTACAGTAACTTAAATCCGTAAATATTCCAGCGCTTATGGAAGAAATTCCAATATTGATATATAGAGTATATGTATACTCAGACACATGAGAGATAAACACTGTGACACTTGAGATTTCTTTTGTTCATTTTGACACTTGAAATTTGTGCTATCATGAATTTCACCCTAAAATGATAAACAGGGTGTGCATTCTTCATTATTATTATTATTATTATTATTTTTTTACAGATTTCGACTTTGGAGCATCAACAAAATTTAGTGTTTTTGAGGCTTTTCATCGATTTATTTTTATTTTTGAACTTGCTTTTGTTGATATTTCCATAGAACTGAAAATTATTATTTTGTTATTGACTTTATCACTGTAATATATCATATTGTGCAAGTAAAATTTAATCCCCATAAATGGCATCAGATGAAGAAATAATCGAACCAAGCACTTTGCAAGAAGAAAATGCCATCCTTTATTCAACTCCAGAGTCAGATGGTGTTTTTTAATTAAATTCAAAATATTGTGTTGTGTGGGGATGGTTTCCGTTTTGGATGTGTGGCAGCTAACTAGTTAATGTCTTTTGCCTCAGGCTTTATCTACATCATAGCAAATTAAGTCACCAAATAAACATATGGTAAAAAAATATTCATTTGCAGTTTAAAGTTAATATGTATGGCTTCTAGCACTTAAAGAGATTATGAATTTGGACCTCTAAAGAGATCTTAAAAGCAAATTTCTATTAATTTGAGAACAGTAGCTAAAAATTCAGAATGTATAATATACACCAAGTGTGAGTACACTTGAATTTAAAAATCAGGAAATAAATTTGAAACAAAAAATTTGGGGAAGGCCTATTTTTTATTAAATAATCTTATAAAGACAATAAAATGTAAGCATTATTATTTGAAAAAGTTGTAATTGCCTAAAATCTAAACACTGACAAGGACAATACACCTAACAGCTAACTATTATTTTATTTTATTCATTCATTCATTCATTCATTCATTCATTCTTTTAAATCCTCACCCCAGGATATGTTTATTTTAGAGAGGATGAAAGGAGAGAGAAAAGAAACATTAAAATGAGAAACATCAATCAGTTATCCCACCATGTACAAGTCTAGACCAAGGTATGTGCCCTAACTGGGAATTGAACCTGCAACCAACTGAGCCACACCAGCCAGGGTCTGACAGCTATTTTTAATAATATTTTATATTATACAAACTATTTCACATGCTTTTTTCAAATGATTTCAAAAGAAAAGGGAGAGTCAATTTCTTTGTGATAAAATATATAAAAACTCATTAATTAGGGCACAGAATGTTAAAAAGCAATGTCTAGAAAAACAAAAGATACATATGTATACAATTTCAACTATAATCAATGATTCCAATGCAAGGGATTACTCAATAACTGATGTATAAGAGAAGTACACTTATTTCAGATCAAAACCAGTTGCAGAAAACTTTTTAAAAATATACTTTATGTCTTAAGTAATTATAAAGTTTGAAAAAGTTTGAAATGGCTTATAAATATTTTGTTTCTGTTAGCTGAATAAAAGAAGATACACTGGCTTAAAAAAATTTTTTTTAAAAAGACCTATATGAAAGAATTCTATGGAAGAGTCCAAGATGACTTTGGAAGAGTTCTTACACTACAGCATTGAAAATGACTCCCATAAGATATATTGTTATCATTACTTTAAATGACAGAATTATGGTACAGTGATCTCCCTTTATTCTGAGTAATATAACAAATGCATGTCACAATGGTAAGAAATTTCTAAAGCACAGAAAATTAAAATACTTATAGAAATCCTCTCTGGAAGCAGAGTTGTTACTGCACATTTCACAGCGGCTCTATAAAAGATTTTCCCAACATACACTAAATACAAATATATCCCCTAATAAACCTGAGGTAAACTGAATTTTACTATCGAAGTACTCCTTAAAAAAAATAAAATAAAATAAAAAAACCGTTCTGCTGGGGCCAGCGCAGTTCTGTGGTTAGAGTGGCAGCTGCTCGGGGAGGGTCGTGGGTTTGATTCCTGGTCAAGGTGCATACCTGGGTTGTAGGTTTGATACTCGTCCCCGGTCAGAGAATGTGTGGGAGGCAACCAATCGATGTGTCGCTCTCATATCTATGTTTCTCTCTTCCCCCTAAACCCCATTTACTCTGTCTGGTTAAAAAATAAAATAATAATAATAAAAAAAATCAAAGAAAATATCCTCATTCCTTGGGTGAGGATTAAAAAAAAGAAAGAAAACTTCCTTAACTATGCAATCAAATTCAGTTAAATATTATTTTAATTTTACAAATAAGACAAGAGTAGCAAATTAAAAACCCAAGATATCAGATCAATAATTAAGACAAAAGATATTAAAACTCAAATGCAAACATCTATAAATAGATTTCTTAGATTACTTAAAAAGTAAAATCTCACTAATATAGGACACCATATGGTCCTATTCATAAACCTATTATTAAGTAAAGGGTTATAATTAAAGTACTCACTTAAACTATTACTCAGTCAAATCTTTCCCATTTACTTTTTTTTTTTAAAGTTTTTTTAAAAAATATATTTTATTGATTTTGTACAGAGAGGAAGGGAGAGAGATAGAGAGTTAGAAACATCGATGAGAGAGAGTCATCGATCAGCTGCCTCTTGCACACCCCCTACTGGGGATATGCCCGCAACCAAGGTACATGCCCTTGACCGGAATCGAACCCGGGACCCTTCAGTCCCCAAGCCGACGCTCTATCCATGGAGCCAAACCGGTCTCGGCTTTCCCATTTACATTTTATTTACATTATTTATTTGCTTAGAACATACCAGAAAGTTTATCAAACCCTCAATATTTAACCATAGTTTAACAAGAACTTCTGAACTGGATCACAAGTGAAATAGACAATGCATCCTAAGAATCTGGAACCTTGTGCTCTAAGGGCTGCCTCTCCCACTATTAATAAATAACTGATTGTTTACTACCAATAAAAATTGACATGTATTTTAGTTTATAAATAATTTTTATATGCATAATTCCATTTAAATCTGATGATGTCAGCTGTAAGATAATTATTTTGAGAAGACTATTAATCCAGACTCACAATTTAGAAAAATTAGGCTTAAAGAAATTGTTTAGCCAAGATCACACAGATAATAAGTAGCAGTACAGGATTAAATATAAATATTCTGACTCTTACAATCTGCTTTTCTTACTGTACCAAGCTGATAGTAACCTAATTTGAAAAAACTATAAGAATACAATAAATGACTACTATAGCTTTTCTAGCTTGTACTATACACAATTTGGAAAAACAGTATAATTAAAGAGAAAAAAAACTGTATTTATTTAAATAAAGTTTTATAGTTTGTGGTATACTCTAGAATCATTACTTGTATTTCTCATTTAATCTTCTCACTAATCCTGTTACATCTTAGTCATAAGTATTATTTATCATAAAAGTATTTGCATGGAAGAACTAAAAAAAAAAAAAAAAATTATTTAAGAATTCAAGGCTAGCCCTAACCAGTTTGGCTCAGTGGATAGAGCATCAGCCTGAGAGCTCAAGGGTCCCAGGTTCCATTCCGGTCAAGGGCATGTACCTTGGTTGTGGGCACATACCCAATAGGGAGTGTGCAAGAGACAGCTGATCGATATTTCTCTCTCATCAATGTTTCTAACTATCTATCCCTTTCCCTTCAAAATAAATATATATATTTATATGCAAATATATATTATATATATATATTATATATTAAAATGTGTACCTAGAAGCCTTGAATTTTTTTATATATAATATATATAAATTCTTTTATATATAAAAGAATTCAAGGCTTCTAGCTACACATTTTAATATTTTGTTATATTTTCAACATTTTAATTTAGTATGGTAACTAAATATTGTCACTCATTTGTAGTTTTTTAAATATATTACAATTTATATTGGGACTTCAAGAAAATTTATATTGTCTGAAAGGTCATTTATTTAGTAGAATATATAGGAATACAATCCTAACCAGTTTGGCTCAGTAGATAGAGCATCAGCTAATGAACTGAAGGGTCCAGGTTTTGATTCCATTCAAGAGCATGTACCCCAGTTGCATGCTCGATCACTGGTCCTGGTCGGGGAGCATGCAGGACGCGATCAATGTGTCACTCTCACATCAATGTTTCCCTCTCTATATCACTCCCCATCCCTCCCATTATCCCTAAAAGTCAATGGAAACATATCCTTGGGTAAAGATTAACAACAAAGAATATATAGAAATACATACACATATAAATGTACAATGTGTGCCACATACCTCCATCACCATCATCTGATCCTCTGAAACTAGGATCTTTTAACATGTCCAGTTCAGCTAACATGCGCACATAAAGTGCATTCTGTCTGAAGGAAGGATAAAATCTTTCATCTCGTAGCATCAGTTCATACACCTATTGAATAAATGAAGATATTCTATCATTAACAAAGAAAATGGTCTTGCTGTAATGAATCATAGGCTCCATATTTACAAGAAGTTGTCACAACTAATGATTCCTCTGGTCTATCAGGACTGAAATTGCATTGAAAAGGGTCTCACTATAACATATGTCATATGATAGGAGATTATACATAACTAGAGGTCCAATGCTTAAAATTCGTGCAAAGGGCTCTACCCTCGCAGCCCCAGCTTTATCCAGAAGGCTGTCTGGAAAGATATCTGGTCTAATTAGCATATTACACATTTATGATTATAGAAGACTAGAGACTGGGTGCACAAAAATTTGTGCACTCAGGGGGGTCCCTCAGCCCAGCCTGCACCCTCTCACAATCTGGGGCCTCAGGTAGGGTCCCTAGGCCTACTCTGAGATCAGGGCCTATCAGGGCTTTCCTTCCCTGGGCTGCAGGCAGCTGGCTCCAATCCCACCACTGCAACTGCTAGCCATCTGTGTAGCAATGTCCCCATCCCCAGCCACCAGTGGCCTCCATCTGCAGGTGACAGGCTGGGATGCAATAGCTTGGGTAGCTTGGACCTCCCTTTTTCTTTGATAGGGGGCAGGGCCAGCCCTGCAAGTGGCCATATGCCTACCTGATTGCGCCTAACCACTCTGCCTGACTGCCTTATTCCTAACTGCTTGCTTGGGGGCAGGGCCAGCCTAGCGAGGGGCCATCTGCCTACCTGATCACCCTGACCGCTGGCCTGCCTACCTGATCTCCCGGAACCACTCTTGCCTGCGCCTGATTGCCCCTAATTGCTTTCTTGGGGAGAGGGGCGGGGGGAACCAGCCCAGTGAGGGGCTGTCTGCCTATCTGATCTTCCCTAACTGCTTGACTGCCTACCTGATCACCCCTGACCATTGGTCTGCCTGCCTGATCACCCCTAACCCCTCTACCTGCCTGCCTGATTGCCCCTTACCATTTGCTTGGGGGAGAGGCCAGCACTGCCTTCCAGTTGGCCAGCCTCCATTAGTTACGACCCAAGGTTTTTATATATATTAGGACTAGAGGCCAAGTGCATGAAAATTCATGCATTGGATGAAGCTGGGGGGCTGAAAGGACTGGAGGACTCTGGAAGCAGGTCCCTAGTGGGGCTGATGGGACTGCACGCTGCCATCTTGGGGCTGCGGGTGCCGCCATCTTTGAGGAAGTGACAGTCAATTAGAATATTCCCTCCTTATTGGCTGTGGGCTCTGCCATCTTTGTGAGAGTGTGACAGTCAATTAGCACATTCCCTCTTTATTAGATAGTATGTTCTAGGAAGTGGTATTCTCTAAGAAAAAGTCCACCCTAAGACTCAAACACATTCAAATCAATTTGAGTGATGTTATTTATTTACATCATCAATTCATGAAATTCTAAGATTGTATATCTGGCTCTGCAGGCAGACTGATATAAAACAGCCTAAAATAAGCATTTCCCTCATTTGTTAAATATATAAACTAGTAAAGTGGCCCACCTTTTTTGTAATTGAGAAATATTATTACCATAACTCATTAGTTTCCTCTCTCTTTTTTTTTTTTTTTTAAATCCTGAGGACACACTTAAGAGAGAGGAAGGAAGAGACAGAAAGAGAAACATTGATGTGAAAAAGAAAACATGGGTTGACTGCCTTCAGTGAATGCCCTGACCCCGAACTGAACTTACAAGTCAGGTACATGCCCAGACCAGGATCAAACAGGCAACTTTGGAACCTGGGATGATGCTCCAATCAACTGAGCCACTCCAGCCAAGCAATTTTTTACATTTTTCAAAAGTTTTTTAAAAACAAATTATATGCATGTGGAAATACACATATTTTTCAAAAAGATCTAATAATGAATGTTGTATATAATACCTTTCTTTGAATGTCATCAAAGATTTCAGGAGTTGGATCTTCATGATTCAAAGTATCTGCTAATTTTGCTACCAAATAATCATCAACAGTAACCCGTGGAGATGCCTAACAAACAGAAAAGTTATAGTAATAATTATCTTTGGAATTCCTAAATACAATTTAAACCTTAATATTATTGAAAGTAACTGCAGAAAATGCTTGGTTTATAAATGATACCTTGCTGTTTAAGAAGTGTGACATAAGAGCTAGAATTTCCTTGTCATCATGTAATATAGTAGCCTGGTAGACAAACATTTACTCAATCTGCAAAATGGAAATACTACTACATAAAGTTGTTATAAGGATTAAAAGAAATTTATGAAAACTATACAAATACAATAACTGGCACATAGGAAATACTTTCATTAGGAGTTGGTTTTGAACATTCAGTAGTCCTGGGTGTGTATTTACTACAACTGACAAAACAATAATTTGTTACTTACCACTTAACAATAGAAACAATCCTTCTGAATGCCCTTTAAAAGAGACTACCTTTATCCTAAAGTTGGTTTTTGAACACTGCAGCAAAGTTCCACTGTGATATGAGAGAAAATTTACCTGAAAAGTTAATATTCCAACAACTTCCAAAATCTGATGTTCAATGTGAAAAATTACTTTACTGAAAGAAAAAAATTCTGAAATCTAGGAATATGGTATGATGTCAACTTTGAAGCTTTAGTTCTGAAGGCTCCTGAAATCAAGTGATCAGGATGTTAACTCTTAGAAAACTAGCAAAATAATGCATTGTTTAAATAATTTCTCCATGCTATCCAATAAAGTATCCAAGGCATAGAATGAATAAAACAAGAAAAGGGATAAAAGAAAAAGTATACAGCAGGATATAAATGTGTAGAAAAAAGACTTATAAAGGACTTATAGAACTTAAAATGCTCCCTTGTTGATTCAAAATTATGTTAGTAAATCCAAGCAGGTTATATGGTGGTTTTCATTTATTGGGGGGGAGAAAGGTGCTTATCTGTTGTTTGTGTACAGGAGGGTATGGTGTAGTGTGTGTATATATGTTTTCCCCTGAAACAGGAATAGGAGAGCTAAACAACTTCGAGTATATGACAAAGATTAGAGAAGAACATGATGTTACTTGGTTCTGTCCTTTCATTTATCCTCTAAGCTCACTAAACTCAGTTTCTAGAAAATAGAGGCAAATTTAAAAATAACATTTTATATTTATTTAATTTTTCCTATCAATTCTGGTACACAGAATTGGATTAAGGCTCCCTGGTATAGGGTGACCAACAAATCTGGAGAGCTATGATAGGTCACAACTTACCAGACTGCCCGACTCAGAAAAGTAATACAAAAGAAATAAGTTTAAACATTTATTATTGCCTTAATAATACAAAAGTGATTGTTTTCCAAAATTATCTATTAATCTGTATTCTTTACTTTTTTATTACACAAATGTGGTTATTTAAACAAAATAACAGGACTAGTAAACAATGGCAATTAGCAACTAACAGGACTAATACAAGTATTATTAAAAATATATAATAATGTATTTGTTTCTGTCCTCTGATACAGCAATTAATTTTAACTTTTTAAGCATTAGATATTTAAATATTATAGGCTCATTATTGTATAGTCTTAATATACATAAATGTGATTTTAAAAGATTATACATATAATAGGGTATTATCTATATTTAATTTAAAAAGTTATTTTTCATGGGGGCTGAGGACAAATATGTGATACCTTTATCAATAAAGAAGTTTTTTTTAAAAAGTTACTTTTCTTTTTATTCCATGAACCCATAGGATATTTTACTTTGTGTGTTTCTCTTTTTAGTAAGACTTCTCTGATTTGCCTGCAGCCTTTAAGAAATCCTTTTCTTTTACATAGTGGTAAAACAGCACAGCACAATCAAATGTAAAATTCACTTTGACTTTCAGCTCTAATCTAAAGCGTACATCACACTTATTTCTCTTACCAATTTAACAATTCTATCCTATTGTTCTATCAATTAATGAGACTGGATACTGAAGTCTTAAACTATTATTGCTAAATTATCTATTTCTCTCTTCAATTCTGTCAGGTTTGTTTTGTGGTGGGGTTTTTTTTTCTCCCATGAATGTGGGGTTTTTATGTTTTTGATTGTTTTATCACCCTGATCAATTAACCCTTTTATTATAAAACTAGTGATCCAGGGCACAATGAAAGGAAATTAATTAAAAGGTGGCCAGAAGGGCAGGACTGGGCTAGACAGGTCAGACACACCCTGGAGCCAACCTTCCTCAATCCCTCCCAGCCAGCCACACGTGGGGTGGTGCTGTGGCTGGAAGGGCGCCTGTGGAGTGAGTGAGTTCCCTCCGGCAGATGGGGTCCCTCAGCCTGAACTGTGAGGACTGGGCCGAAACTGGTTCTCCAACATCCCTCCCCCAAGAGGTCCCAGAGTGCAAGAGGGCATTCTACAAAGTTGCTGTTTGCACATTCAAGTGTGCAGTAAACCAGACTTGGGACCCACAGCCAAAGATAGAAATGCGCAACCCTGCGAGGAACTGGGCTCCCTCCTCTCACCCAAGAACCTCTGCTGCCAAGTCACTGCAGCTCGGCAGCTCCTGCGTTGTCTGCCTTCTGATGTTCAGTGCACATCATAGCTACCAGTCAGACAGACACTTTTTATATTAGCCTTTAATATTTACACCACACACATTAGAGGCCCTGGGGTCCTTGGCCTGGCCTGTGAGATGAGGCTGAAACTGGCTCTCTGACATCCCCCAGATGGGTTCAGGATTGAGAGTGGGAGCAGGTCAGGATGAGGGACCTCAGCGATGCACTATTGGGGCCAGGGAGGAACTGCAAGAGGGCTCCAGGGCATGTCTGGCTTGTTTCACCCAGTCCCAATCAGCCAGACGCCAGCAGCAAGCTAACCTACCAGTCAAGCGTCTCCCCTCTGATGGTCAGTGTGCATTACAGTGACTTGTCGAACCAACTGTTGGACACTTAACATATTCAGCTTTTATTATATAGGATGTCCCTCTTTTCTCATTAACAACTTTTGTCTTAAAAGTCTATTGTCTACACTAAAATCTATTAGCATAGTCATTCCTGCTCTGTTTTAGTTACTGTTTGCATAATTTACCTTTTTCATTCTTTACTTTCAACTATTGTCTTTGAATCTAAAGTGTGTGTAGCTTTATCATTTGTATTTTCATGACATTAGCCAAATTAATTCAATTTCCTAAACATTAGTTTCTTCCCTTCAAAATGATAATATACACAATAAGACGCTGATCAGGATTAAATGAGACAATATTAGTGAAAAAGTTGTGTCTAGCATAAGTAATGGATATTTATAAGTACTATAAAAATTACTATTATTATTTTTAAATTTTTCTTATTGATTTCAGAGAGGAAGGGGAGAGGGAGATAAAACATCAATGATGACAGGGAATCATTGATTGGCTGCCTCTTGCATGTCTCCCACTAGGGATCAAGCACAAACCCGGGCATGTGCCTTTAACCAAAATTAAACCCATGACCGTTCAGTCTGCAGACCAAAGCTCTATCCATTAGCCAACCCAGCTAAGGCTATAAAAATTATTATTATTAATGATACTGCCAAAGAAGATAAGAACACATTAACCAAAATACATCCTCACCTTTTCTGATAAATACTGTTCATAAATTCCAACAGCAGCTGCTCTTAAAAGACCTTTGGTTTGGTTAGTTTGATGTTTTCCATCTTTCTGACGGCTTAATAAAACTTGTAGTTGTTGTTGGGCTGTAACCCGGTACCCTTCCACTGTCATCCAGAAGAAGAGATGTGCTTGACCTCCAGTTTGCTGCATGTAATCTGCCAAATAAAATCCATACATAGATATTAGTGTCACACATTTCTGGGTACATGTAGCTGTATCATAAGATAAGAAGAATTAAAGTTTCAAATACTCAAAACTGGGCATTTTAAAAGGTATAAAAAGTGTTTGAGGTGAAAATATAGTTATATCATGAATTAGTTAAGCTAAAAAAGACCAGTTATGCAGGAAACATAAATAAAAGAACATTTTTAAAAATATATATTTTTCATAATAAAATCTCTAGTGGATAAAATAGCTGCAAAAAGTTTCATCAGAAATAAATCATTTTGCTAGCATTCAGCTTTTGTTCTCAATAAACATTATTATCATATTATGTATTAATGTTTATGTAAATATTAAAGGTAAAAATTAAACTTTTCAACACAAATCATGTATCTATAATTTTTATCATGAAAATTAAGAATCAGGAAGTTGTGCTAAAAATTTTCTCCAAATAAAAGGAATTATGAGGTAACTAATAAAATTCCCACCCCATTCACACACAAAAATGATACAAACAAGTTATATACGCCACGTATGTATATACTCCTCATAAAATACTCTTCTTCAAATAATTTAAATTCATAGACTTTTCCAAGGTATATTTTAAAAGCAGTTTAGCAAATGCACATCAGTTATAATAAGCATTTGTTTCTTCAAAACAAAAAAAAATCTCTGCCTCTATGTTTTCCAGGAAATGAACATTTCAGAGAATAAGAGGAAGAGATGAGACAGATTTGGCATGCTTAATACTGAGTACTTAAAATTTAATAATAGTTACAATTATTAAAAATGTCAAGGGTTATATTATTTTCATAAAATAGATTTACCTACCCATAAAAAATTGTAGTGCAACATTGTCTACAAGGATGCTGGCCAGAGGGACTGTGCAAAGTTTCCCAAAGTTTGCTGCCAGTTTCACAGTATTTATTTCCTACAGATAAAAGGGGATGCAGGTTAATATTTCATTTATTCATTCATTAGGTTAAAGATCTTTATATAGGAGTAAAAAAATCAAATTATAAATTAAAATGGAATAAAAATAAAGTTTTTCTCTTCTCATATACATGAGTTCCCAATAAAATAGCCTTGGCTCAGTGAATATTATTTTCAGAGTTGCTTAGTAAATATATATTAAATATGATAAGCATTCATTTCTCCCAACACAAATTCTAAATTACTGTGTTTTCAACTCTCTCCTCCCCCTCTCTCTTCATACTCCAAATGAAAATGGGTATTTTAGAGGCTCAAGGGGATGTTTAGAATGCTTAATATGTCCAAGAATAAACAAATCCCAGCATTTTTAAGTATAGATTGAAGTCTATCTACTGGGAAAATAGAAAATGTTCCTAAAAGAATAATTTTGCTCCCAAGAGAGTAAAATCTCTATAAAGTATTTTATATTGTAGAAATATAAATGCAGAAAATGTATTTTTTCCTCAGCCTATGTAAACAATAAATTATGTATGCTTTTCAGTTATAAAAGCATGATAACTACATACATGTAAAACATAAGAAAAAAAAAGGGTTCAAAATCTACATATCAAGCACTATGCTAGGTACATTACACATATTACTTCATTTAATTTCCACAACAATTCTATTGGATTAAGTACCACCAAAGCCATCCTATATAATAAAAGTCTAATATGCAAAATGACCCCTCAACCTAGAGTTCGACTGGGAGTTCAACTGGGAGTTCGACCAGGGGGCGGGGGTGGCCAGCCAACTGCTTGTGGCCCCTCCCCCTGGCTGACTGCATCTGTTCCCTTCCCCCAACTGGCCTGATTGGGTCCCACCCATACACAAATTTGTGTACAAGGCCTCTAGTTTACGATAAAAGAAAGCTGAAGACCAAAAAGTTTACCTATGACCACAAAGCTGGTAAGAGTAAGTTTGTTTTTAAAGCCTGCTGTCCTTTCTTCTAAAACCCACGATATTTCTGTGAACTATTTTAACCAGCTTCCCTGTACATATTCCCAAATCCGTATCTCACAACACTTGATTTTAAAAGATAGGCATGTTCTCTGGAAGTTAAATAGACTCTATTATTCAGGGCAGATACTAAATTAGGCATAAGTGATGCATAAAAAAGAAGGAAGATAATTTGAAGGAGGAAAATAACTTCTTGTATAATTAGTATCCCTTCATATAAGTTCTGAAAGTAAGAGGTAACTGACTTAAAATATTTGGCATAAAACAACCCAGTGCCAGCACATGATTTCTCTCCTATATTTCTTCTGCCCAGCAGCAGCTCCACAAAAAATGTGATGGGGAAGAGCGTTCACTATAACTTTATTTGTAATGTAAAGGTATGATAAAAGATCTTTTAAGAGTTCAAGATGAGTAAAAAAAAAACATCTTTAGGGGGGGTCTGGGGTTACTTCCAAAGGAAAATGCATGACCAGAGCTATTAAAGAAATAAAGTTTAATATTCAAAACAGAACTGACAGGTTTCCAAACAAGGCATTGAAATTTTACGAAGGATTCAATATCAAAAAGCATCTGGGCAAGAAACTTTAAATAATGATGATGAAAGACCACTAACTCTAAGATCTAGATAGTACAACTACTTAAAAGAAACAATAAGCACTAGTGAAACCATATCATTTTTCTATTCTGAATTTGCATGGGTGGGTATATTAAACTAATTTTAACACAGCTAAAATAAAGACAGGCATACACACAAATGCACACACATAAATGAAATGTGGGCCTCAAGTACTGTAAGCTAAAATTAATCTAGCAACTAAACTTATTTAAAAATGTCTTGTATTCCTAAGAAAAATTGCAAAATTATATGATCAAAGTCACAGATAAATTTCCATAATAGAAAACCAGCCCAAAAAGTGACTACACTTAATTAAAAATGTATTTTCCTAACAGCCCCAAATCTCTGCTCTATTTTATAGTAAAACTCTTCCAAACAGCTAACAATAATCACTATTTCTAATTCATCTCTTTCCATTTCTTCCTGGACTGACTCCCTTCATTAAGGTTTCTCTCCACTATTCCACCAAAGTTGTTTTATCATCAGATCCAATGGGCAATTCTAAGTTTCAACTTACTCAACTTATTAGTAGCCTTTGGCATACCTGATCTCTCACTTCTTTAAACACTTTCTACACATGGCTTCTAGGATATCACACTCTCAGGTTTTCCTTCCATCTCACCAGCCACTTACTCTGTATCTTTGATTTTCTACTTTGTCTTAAATTCTAGTAACTGAAGTGCCTCAGGACTGAGTTCTTGGTATCTTCTTACACTCAGTCTCTTAACTTTAAGTAAACATCTGATAACCATTCGAATTCTCAGTTATTTCCACCACTAAAATTTCCCTTGAATTTGAGTTTACTAATTAGCATGTCTACTTCAATATTGAACAGGGAACTCAAACTAAAACATCCAAAGTTAGATGCACTCCTCCAAATCTCCTCCTCCCTCAGTTTCATCCATTTTAGTAAAAAGTGACTCTATTCATACGTTGCTAAAAGACAAAAAAACCTGCATACCATTCAAGTCCCTTTTTAGTTTATCACCCCAAACTTAATCCTCCAGTAAATCCTATTAGCACTATATCCAGTCTACTTCTGACAACCTTAAGACATCTTTTACTGGAATGCAATAGTCTTGTAAATGATCTCTTAGTTTCCATTCTTGCCTCCAGCACTTTACAATTTATTCATCACAAAGAATCAAAGTAAACATTTTAATTCACAAATCAGATCACATCACTCACCAAGAAAAATATCCAATGGGTTCACAATACAATTAGAATCTTAAAAAAAACAAAACACAAAAAAACAAAAACCTACTATGGCAGCTAAAACCATATATAATCTAGCCCAAGGTTCCTCTCCAATTTCATTCCTATTAACAATTCCTCTCATTCATTCAATAGCAGCCACACTGACCTCCAGGAACTCACCAACCATTTTCCTATCTCAGGACCTTTGCCTTTGCTTTCTTTCACCTTGCCTGTAAAACTCTTTACACCTTCCTATGCTAAATGTCACCAGATCTCTCAGCACCTATAAAAAAATACTGGACATTCTCCATTCCTCTATTTTGCTTTACTTTTGTGTTTTTTCACTCTTTACTGATTTTCTACCTTTTTTTCTTTATATATCAATTTATTTATTGGCTTATTTTCTGATTGCAACTAAAATGTAAAGCTCCATGAAAGTAGATATTTTGTCTATTAGGTTAATCTACCATGGTGTCCATGAATAAAATTCAATAAATATTGATTTTTTTAATAAGTGGATAGATGAATAAGTAAATTAAGGAATAAAAAATCTTTAATTACTTTAGCGTTTTTTAAGCAGTATTTCAATCTCTAGCTTGGTTTCACAAATATTTATACCACATTATATCAGAGAAATTTTTGAAAAGTCCTGTTGTAGCGTAGTGCACTGGTTAATGTACATTTCGTTATTTGCTAGACATTTTAAAAGTTTACTTTTATATTAGACATACATTATTAATTTCAAATGTACAATTATAGTGACTAGACATTTATATACCTTATGATGTGACCACCACAGTAAGTCTAGTAATTATCTGCCCCCATACATAGTTATTACAATATTATTAACTATATTTCTTAGACTGTACATTGAACAGGGAACCACATATTTTATAACTGGCAGTATGTACTTTTTATTGATTTTTAATGACTTTAGAGAGGAAGGGAAGAGAGATAAATAGAAACATCAACAATGAGAAAGAATCACTGATCAACTGCCTTCTGCAACCCCCACACTGGGGATTGAGCCTGCAACTTGGGCATACAGCCTAACTGGGAATCAAACTGTGACCTCCTAATTCATAGGACAATGCTTAACTACTGAGTCAAGCTGTCTGGGCCGCAGATTGTACTTCTTAATCCCCTTCACCTTTTCACCTATGCTCCCACCCTGCTAAACATTTTAATAAATAAAAAGTATTTGTAAGTAAATGTTAACTCAAAAGTACTTTACTTACTTTGCCTGACTGCAACCGTTGTATTCTTGAGTCACATACTTTCTTTACAAATAATAAGCTATTAATTTGATTTTTGATAGTGTTGATATCTAAAAACAAACAAATTGATTATGAACTAGAAAGTGGTAGTTATATGTGAAATACTTTAAACATGCATTTATTGTCATCCTATATAATAAAAGGCTAATATTCAAATAGATCAAAAGGTGGAACCACCAAATAGCCAGTTGCTGTGATGTGCACTGACCACCAGGGGGCGCGTGTGGACCATGGCGGGCATTGGTCACAGCAGGATGGTGGAGCAGATGAGCAGGGGCACCAGACCAAGTGGGGCACTGGTCACTGTCATCGGGGCGAGCCTTTGGTGATTATTGAAAATTCTTTGCTCCAAAGCACTGAGGTCCCGCCCAGCACTCCTACCTGCTGCTGGCACTAGACTCGCACCTACTGCTGGTGCTGGCCCCAATCGCTCTATGCCATCAGCAGGTGCAAGCACGACCAGCACTATCAGCGCATGGGAGCATTGGTGGCAGGAGTGGTGAACTGCTGGCACATAGGGGGCTGGGGGCCATGTTGGAAGGGGCTGGGCAGGGGAGCGGAGGATGGGCCAAGACTTGCCCCTGTGCCCACCCCAGCTTTGTGGCCCACAGTTCCTTTCAAGGTGCACAAATTCGTGCACTGAGCTCCTAGTTTAATATAAAAGCCAATGCATAGAGCAATTAATATATTTAATAATAAAATAACCTAAAATTATATACTGCAATTATTTAGTTAATATTAAACCATATCAATTCTCTTTACTTTAGAGAAAACTGCAATAGTCTCACATTCAACATTATAATACTTTATTCTTTCTTTTTTGTTTGTTTTTGTGTGTTTTTTATCCTCACCAGAGGATATTTTTTCTACTGATTTCTAGAAAGATGTGAGGGAGGTGGAAGTGAGAGAGACACATCGATTGGTTGCCACCCACAAAGCTCTTATCAGGGCTAGGGAATCTGCAAATGAGATATGAGCTCTTGCCTGTGACTCTTGGGCCTGCAGGCTGACTCTCTAACCACTGAGCAATGGCCACACCTATAATACCGTATTCTTAATACATGTTGTGACACAATAAACGAGATTTCAATTTAGTTAAGGCTAAAACAACTAATAGCATAAAATGACGTTTAGGTAAATTCCAGTTTTGTTTGAGATATAGTAATAAATAAAGAAGTAAAATATTCTTTCACTTAAATCACTTACCATCACCAGCTGTATCTAGAGATCGAAGATACTGTAATTCTTCTATTGCCTTATCTCTGACTGCTTCTAGCTCTCCAATATTGTCACTCAATTTAATAATGTTCATAAAGGCCTCATAGTTGCAATTAGACTCACGGATCTAAAACATAAAGTTTAAAAAACAGATGGGAGGGGGTACTCACTTATTAAGGGAAAACAGAATCTTGAGTGACTACCATGTGATAGGCACAACTTGCCATATTCCAAATGCTTATAATAAAACAAATGAAAATCCCTATACTCAGAGTATGTAAATGTTCATGGTTCACAAACTAAACAATGTAAATAAAAAGTACAGTAGGCTAGAAAGTATTATAGAAAAGCATGCTCAGAATATTTGAAGATAACAAGGAAGCCATGATGGTTGAAGAAATATCAAAAAAAGGTAGTAAGATCAGTGGTGATGGAGAACAAACCAGTAAGATTATAGTAAATTTTTTACTTTCATTCTATGTGGAATGAAAGTTACTAGAGGATTTTAAACAGAAGTATGGGATTCTCTGACCTAAATTTTATTTTGTCTTTTTCTCCAGTCACTTGTTGTTTAAGAACAGAAAGAGAGTAGATGGATGGTTAAGTTGAATTTAAGCAGAGTGTCATTTCACCAAGCAAGTACAGTGAAAGAGAGAGAAAGGTAAGTGAAGATGTTGTGAAGGAATTAATCATTATGAATGTCAATTAAATTTAAACCAAGTAAAGCAGCAAAGGGAGCTATGAAAAGGTAGCAGACGTAGGATATACCATGATCATTTTTAATGGCTGCATAGTATTTTACTGTATTAATATGCATAATTTATTAAACTAATCCTCCATGTGATACTCTTAAATTGCTTTCAGTTTTTTAGTATTATATGCAATGTTTCCACTAGTGGCCTTAAATGTTGTTGCAAATCTGCTTATCATGATCCTATATAATAAAGAACTAATAATGCAAATAGTTGTCATGCCCTCACGCTCAGACTCTTAACACTGGGGAGGAATGGGGACCAGCCAGACACAAACGAGCTTGTGAGTGAGGAATGGGGACCAGCTAGCACAAATCAGCTTGCAAGAGAGGAATGGCTACGGCCCGAGAGAGAGACAAGCCACCCACCCTGCCATCCCAGGTGCCTGCGGCTGTGGCCTAGGCAAAGCCACCGCCCACAGTCCCATGCAGCTGTGGCCAGCCCGGGTCCTAGGTGCCTGCACCTGCAGCTGGCCAGAGAGAGGGAAGCCTGAGTCCCAGGTGCCGGGTGAGGCAGTTAGGGGCAATCAGGCCAGTAGGGGAGCAGTTAGGGGCTATCAGGACAGCAGGGGAGCAGTTAGGGGCAATCAGGCAGGCAGGCAGTCAGGTTAGTGGTTAGGAGTCAGCAGTCCCGGATTGCCAGACGCAGCTGGTCATCCCCCAAGGGGTCAAAGATTGGAAAAGGTGCAGGCCGAGCTGAGGGACCCTCTCCAATGCACGAATTTCATGCACCAGGCCTCTAGTTCTAGAATAAATTTCAGGAGAATTCCTAACCGAGAGATATACATTTAAAAATTTTTAATGATGTGGATATGCATATTTTTAAACCTCTTGGTAGAGAGCCTAGTAGGGATCTATAAAAGTTAACAAAGAAAAGAATAATCAGGTTCTGTGACCTCCATAAAAGAAACTAACTTTCAAAAATACTGGTCATCTATCTCCAATATTATATGGAAATAAAATATTCCTTTTTAAATTTAAATAATAATAATACCAAACTTGTCTCTTAAAAGAGAATTTGACTGACACATACAGCAAAAAGAAATATCTATACTATAATAATAAAAGCCTAGTTGGCCCTTGCGCACAATGTCGCCACAAGTTGGCCACGCACACAGAGGAGGCGGGGCCCAGCAGCCGCTCTGCGTGGTGATGTCTGTGGGTCCCATGGCTCACGCAGCATAGAGGAAGCTGGTCCTGGAGGAGGAGATAGGTTGCAGCAGAAGGGGCAGCTGTGGGCAATCAGGCCAGCAGGGAAGGGCAGTGTGGGTGATCGGGCCAGCAGGGGAGCAGTTAGGTGTCAATCAGGCCAGCAGGGAGTGGTTAGGTAGCGATCAGGTTGGCATGCAGAAGTGGTTAGGGGCAATTAGTCAGGCAGGCAGGCTAGCAGCTGGGAGCCAGAGGTCCCAAATTGTGAAAGGGATGTCTGACTGCAGGTTTAGGTCTGATCCCATAACTAAACAGGCAGTCACACATCCCCCGAGAGGTCCCAGATTGGAGAAGGACATCCCCGCCCACTGCATGATTTTGTGCACCGGCCACTAGTTGAAAATATAAAGATTATCTCTAGATACATCTTTATTTAATAAAGTGTTGCTTAATCATCCTAAATTCCAAGTACTATTTCTACAATTAAAAAAAACTTTAGAGAGTTGTAATTTAGAAAGTACATACCATCCATATGATATATTGATTAATATAATCAGGATCACTGAGTTGATTTATTAATGGAAGAAGAATTCCTTGTGCAAGGATTTCCTGAACAAAATTTTTAAAAAACACAAATTTAATACACTGTTCAAATCAATAGTATAATATAAGTTCCCTAACACAACCTGTTACTTAAGAAAAGTACAATACACGTAAAACTAAAACTTGATAACCTACATATAAGCTTATAAACAGATAAGCTAGTTTACCACAGTTAAAATAAATTAAATTGAGATGCAGCTACCTAGATGTAATACATGGATACATGTCTACAAGGACAACTAGAGTTCAATGGAGAAAAGGAAAAAGACAGCTTTAGTATATATTTTTGTTAATTTTTAAATGGCAAAACACTGCAGTATAAGTATTTATGGATTCCTATATCTATACGTAAAAGAATAATAACAAAGAAGAAAAGGAAAAGATACACACCAATTTCAGAATAGTGTTTATCTTCAAGGGAGGAACAATTATAGTAAAATATTAATACTCGTTGACTGAGTAGTTGGTACATAAATGTCTATTCTATTATTCACTGTACTAATGGAATGGGGGTTTGTATATTCTTCTGTTTCTAAATTTTAGTTTTAATTTATAATATGGTAAATATTGATACATAAAACCCACATAAAAACAAAACTCTTTGAGGTCTTCAAAAAAATTTTTTTTAAATGTCACAGGGACCTGAGACCAAAACTTCTGGAAACTACTACCCCAAGTTTCTTTACAGCCATTTATTTGGTATGAGTTTAAGCTTACCCTGACAAAGTATCGCATGGTCTTGTTCTGGAAATCTCCAGGAGGTAGCAGTAAGTATAATAAGACCTCACACAAATCTCTTAGGAACCCTAGAAAAAAAGGTAGCTATAATAACATTAGAAAATACTTTATATAAAACACATAAAGGTAAAAATAAGCAGTTTTCTGATTATACTGGCTTATTATTTTAGTAATTAGTACATATCAGTATTCATTAAAAACTTTTCCTTCTTCTCAAAATAGTAACTACCCAATAATCAAAATGGTATTTTTAAGTAAGTTACATCCCACTCTGAATCACTGAAAAACTTCAGTTACAAAAAGTGCTCCCCAAACAACTTTTACTCTACCGCACTAATTATGTGTGCATACTTAAAAACTATTTGCACATTTAAAAATTACCTGTAATTATTTTTTCCAAAAAGAACTTCCACTATTTTGGCAGAAAAAAAGAGTATGCTCTTCTAATTTACAGATTTGAGGGCTCAGTTTACATAAAAGTTCTGCACATTATTATATCTATTTCTTACATTTAACTATTTCATATCAGTGCTAATATAATGGCAATTAAAAACTGAATTGCACAATATACAAAAAGAAAAGAAAAAAGAGGAAAGGAAAGCAAAGTAAAGAAATAAAAATGTTAAGCATTATAAAAAACAAAGAAAACAATTTCCACAACTGGAAATGCTTTTCTCTAGTTGTTACATTCTGACACTTCATAGGAATTTATTATACACCTGATACTATTAATTAAAAAAGTGCCAAGTAAGAAAGATTTAATCATTGCAAATCTAGGGGAAAAAACAACTTCCTCAACTAAAGCTTATCTGATCTAACCTTCCAAAAAGAAGACAAGTTCGTTCAACTCTAAAAATTGTATTTAAAATTATTATAAGCATTACCTTAGAAAATATTTTAGGGTACCAGATATATTCTTGAATTAGAAATAATAAATTCAAGGTAAAGATATAATTACTATAGATCAAAAAAGTAAATTTCAATTACAAAATGTTAATGCTTGTTATATTTTCCAAGAAGACAAGAGTGGTAATCTTGAATTACCATCTTTAACTTTTAAAAGTAAACTTCAAAACAGAAAAAATTTTTGAAATTACTTTTAAGAATTAAAAAAATAAAATAAAGTATATAGTAACAGTATCTTCACTATGCTACCTGTCCTAAAAAAAATAATTTTGCCCTTATATTTGTTAACTGGTCTTACTAATTCATCTCTGACAGTAACTGAAAACAAAAGTGTGAAACTGAAACAAAACCTTCTTCATCTTTGGGAGAAGTGCACACTAGGTCACGGCAAACGTCCTTCTCCATTTCAACTTCAACTTCAAAAAAGGTATCTACTAGATCTTCTGCTGTACCTGCAGAAAGAAAAGAACAATACAAGCTATGCTGAATGATAAAAACAAAACAGATTTTAAAATCATAATTTTCAGGAAAAAAGATATTACCTGTTACTTGATCATCTTTCTCTGTTATCTTCTGTTGAGCCTTTCTAAATACTCGTAGGTGTGTGCCAAAATCATCTACAATGCGTGTTGTAAAATAAGGTTGCCAATCTATTTCTTTTGACCTTATAAAAAACATATTATGTAGAAGCATTATGTAAATTGCTTTTTAATCAAGAAATATTAAGTTCATTATAATAACTACTAAAAGACATCATTATCAGAGACTGAATTTATTTATACTGAGGTTTTGTCCATTTAATTACTATTACATCTTAACACTATATCTTTCACTCATAAGACCCAAGGTGTATCAAATCTATTTGACTAAGACATAAGTATTTCATGTGCCAAAGCTTAAAGATTATAAAATAATCTTTTAATATTTTTTAATAAAATATTTTTCCAGTTAAATCTGAAATGAATCTAACATATATCATGCAAAATCTTACCCCAGACTTAAGAATATTAATACATTAGAAATTCAGAACGTTTTTTGCCTGCTTTTGAAAGAGCAGACTAACAGCTGTCAGAGGGAAGGGGGTTTGGTTTGGGGGAGGGTGTAAGTAGGCAAAGGGGGAGATAAATAGGAATAGAAAGAGACTTGACTTAGGGTAGTGAGTATACATTGCAGATATTTTATTAGTTGTATACCTGAAACTTGTATGGTTTTATTAACCAACTAGAGGCCTAGTGCATGAAATTTTTGCATGGGTAAGGTGGTCCCTAGCAGCTGCCAGCAGCTGGGTCCTCCTTTACCCAGCTGCAGGCTGCCAGCTATGGCCTCCCTTAATTACACACCAAGCCCCTGGTGGTCAGCCCATGTCATAGCAAGTGATCAAATTCCTGGTTGGTCAAACTCCAAGGGGACACTTTGCATATTAGGCTTTTATATATATATAGACGCTACCCCAATAAATTCCATTAAAGAACAAAATAAAAGATCATTTGAAATATTTTTTGGTTATTTTTCAACCATTTCTGAAATTTTCACATTCTTCTTTTAGTTATAAACGAAATACCTTTGGTATAAGCCTGATTGGTTTCTGCTTGCATATACTAGCACTTAAAAACTAGTGTATTCAAAATAACAAAACAAAACAAAAAAATGCTTTAAAGAATGTGGCTGCCCTTAGCTATGAAAAAGGTGATTACTAATTATATTATGTAGTATTCTATCTCGAAAGCAAAAGACCTCAAGAGACATTGCTAATTTAGTATAAAAGTGAAGCAAATAAACACAACAGATAAACCAAAACAGTTTACATGTCTCCTTAAATTAAGTAACAGCTTGTTTTGCTTTTTAATCCTCAAGGATATTTTTTTTTCCATTGATTTCTAGAAATAGTAGAAGGAAGGGAGAGGGGGAAAGAGAGAGGAAAAAACAACACATTGATGTATGAGAGACACTCTGGTTGGTTGCCTCCTACGTGTGACCCTACCGGGGCTGGAGAACCTCCAACTGAGGTACTTGCCCTTAACTAGGGATCAAACCTGAGACCCTTCAGTCCGCAGGCTGAGACACTAACCACTATCCTAACCTGGCCAGGGCAAATTAAATATTAGTTTTAAACAAACATTTTTAGTGCTGTTTTCCTTAAATTAGTACTAAAATTAATTTCCTCTTTTAGGTGTTTATTCATGAAGATGCTAGGCAATGGAGGGGCCATAAAAAGTATACCCTACATTACATTAATTACCCACTCATGTATAATAAAGAAGCTAGTAAAGAAATTGATTTGATTACACTGTTATTTTTTTATAGAAAGCGTTCAAAAGATAATGGCATTGAGGAATATAACAGATGGCTGTTTTAAAATAAAAAACATAAGTTATTAACATAAATCCCAGATACCAGGGCCTCCGCCTGGGTCACCAGGATGTGTGGCCAGCTTGCAGGCCCCTCGCTCAGGTCGCCCCATGCCTCAAAGGAACCCCGACCCTGATCTGGGACACCCCTCGGGGCAAACCAGCTGGCCCCCACCCGTGCATCAGGCCTCTATCCTAATAAAAGAGTTATATGCAGATTGACCATCACTCCAACACACAAAATGGCTGCCCCCATGTGGACACAAGATGACCACCATAAGATGGCCAGCAGGAGAGGGCAGTTGGGAGGGACCAGGCCTACAAGGGAGGGCAGTTGGAGGGGATCAACCCTGCGGGGGAGGGCAGTTTAGGGGTGACCAGGCTGGCAGAGGAAGGAAGTTGGGGGCAAACAGGCTAGCAAGGAAGCAGTTAGACATCAAACAGGCTGGCATGGGAGTGGTTAGGGGGTTATCAGGCTGGCAGGCAGAGTGATTATGAGCAATCAGGAAAGCAGGCAGGCAAGCAGTTGGAACCAGTAATCCTGGATTAGAGGAATGTCTAAGTGCCCGTTTAGGCCTGATCCCTAAATGGGCAGTTGGACATCCCTCCAGATTGGAGAGGGTGCAGGCTGGGCTGAGGGACACCCCTCCCCCCGTCTCCATGCACAAATTCCATGCACCGCGCCTCTAGTATAAAAATAATTTTAAATATAGATTTTTACTTTCAATATACAAATATGAGTAGGGTGGAGAGAACAGGAACACTGTATTCTGCAACTCTATCCAAGGTCATTAGTTTCCCTCTTCTTGACTTATTTCCACTGAATACATGAAACCCTAATGTAAATCTCAACTGAAAGGGACTCTCTGGGTTAGAAAGATAAAAACAACAGTAATATATTGCTTTCCATTTACAAATTAGGAAAAATCTACTATCAATTTCTAGTAGTATTTGTAATAAAATTTGAAACTATTTTGATGACAGTACTTTCTAAATTTATGGTATATGATAAATATGTAATAAATTTTAAAAATCATCAATTGATGTAACTATCATACTTCTTTGTATTGATCCACATGTAACTATTAAAAGTTCTTAATATCCATTACTTTTAAGTTATGCCTAAATTCAAAGCTCTTTTCACTTTAAAATATTTTCCAACATGCTTCCTATTATAATAAAAACAAAAGAATTATTACACAATGAATCCCATTACCTACACTTCCATTTTATTATTACTTACATGTGAATCTATAATAATAAAAGTATAATATGCTAATTAGACTGGACAAAGCCTGGACTGGGAGGAAAGCCGGTGCCAGCAGCCAGAGGAAGGCCTATTCTTGCAGAAATTTTGTGCATCGGGCCTCTAGTTTAAAAATAAGAGCATATTTCCCACATGTTCAAAAGGATAAGTGAAGTATTCAACCCTACCCTGAGAATATAAAATTTATAGTAGGGTCCTGAAGCTTATATATCTGATAGTATGGGTGCAAAAATTACCCAGATTACTAGGGAATGCAAAGATCAATAAAGTTATAATTTAAGCACACAAGCAAAAGCCAAACTATAATGTATGCCTCCCTGACCATATATTTTGCATGTCTGTATCTCTGTCTCTAACACCAGGATCATCTCCTGGCTTTTAATCCTTCTCCCATGCCCACTCTTGCCTCCCCTCCATTCTATTTTCCACAGAGCAGCCAGTGATCGTTTTAAAACACAAATATGATAGTATGAAATAAAAGCTTTAAAAACCTTTCAATAGCTCTCCGTTAACCTTAGGCCTGAGCACAATACCTTCACTAAAATCTTACATACCCGAACACTGCTTACTTCCTTATCATCTGCTCCACCCTCTTTCTTCCCTTCTATTCTGCACACTCTCAGGCTTTCTTTCCGTTTCTCAAACTTGAATATGCCTTTTCTTATATCAGTGCCTCTGGACAAACTACTCCTCTGACAGGTTTGCTCAGCCCTGCCCACTCTCCACAAATTCCCCTTCTTTCTCACACATTCAATTGATAATTCTCACTTATACTGAGCATGTCAAACTCACAGCCCACGAGCTGCATGTGGCCCAACCAATACAACAGCACGTAAGAAAATTTCATACCTTAATTTTTACAATACCCTATTATACATAACTATTAACAAGCTACAAAGTTCGCTAATGACTTGATTACTAAAATCCTGTTGCATTCTTTTCCCTATGTGACTATCCGCAGGTTCACCATTTCTCTCCACTAATACTAACAACTAATATTTTAGCAGCCGATTGCCACGCCATTAGTCTTAGACTGACTTGTTTGGTGTGTGCCACAGGAAATATTTTGCTTTTGGAGAACAAGAAAAATAGGTTTATTTGTGTTACACTTATTAACTTGTGCAGTTATTCAGTGTCTGGTAAGTTAAATGTTGACAAAAAATATTAATTTTTATTAAAATGTTCTATTATTTTATGTTAACAATCGTTCATGTATTTCAGCCCTTTGTATTCAGCATATCTCTATCGAAATGAACCCATTAAAATTGAAATCTATTAAAATTGAAGCTTTTGGGTTGGGTTTTTTTTTTTGCAGCCCATATAGACTTAAACCTTGTGTTAGCCTTTGTGTTTGGCATGTTTGACTTAAAAACTGTATTTAAATAACTCAACTGCTAGAAATAAATTCAATTACTGAGATAAAAATCTAGGAAAGTCAGGAACTTTGTTTTATTCTGTGTTCATTTTATTCACAATGGTATCCCTGATGGCTAAGTAATGAGTTGAACATTGGGAGGTCCTCAATACATATTGATTTATTGATTCCTCTTTCAGGGTCAGATTCCTCTTTTCAGGGTCAGGTGCTTGAAAAATAGCACAAGACACATAAACAGTTGCTTATTTACTCCTCACAGTTCTGAAATAGAACATCAACTAAGCTTTTTTTGCCTCTCTAAATCCCTAAGCTACTTCATGCTAATGCCTAAAAAGGACAATGAATGTCCCAAATATGTAGGCTGCTACTGAGCTGATATAAATTACTTCACTGGTTCTATCTATTCTAAGCATTGTACAGCTTAATATCCACAAACACACACATACAAAAAAAAAAAAAACCTCCAAACCCAACCAATTTCTCTAAAAAGCACTGGACATGTACACACACATACATGTATACACACACACACACACACACACACACAGTAAAGGGAAAACTGGTAACTGGTATATACTTGTAAACCAAAATATTTGATCAAGAGAGGGAGTTATGAATACATTTCATTTAACTTCAATCATAAAAAACTTTCCACATTAGGCAACCACCTTTTA